GATGTCTTTGCATCGGTTGTTGCGCCCCTACCTTACTCTACGGGTTTTCGGGGTTCAGTGCCATGGCACTGATCTCTTCCCTTGTGACCAGTGTTCAACAGTCTGGCTGGGGTCATTGGGGGATGTCTTTACATCGGGCTCACAGCACGGGATGGGAGTTTGCGGCAGTGTGGCAAGTGCTGCGCTGTATTTGGTTTCTTCAGGTTTATTGTCTCGATTGGGGGGGGGGTTCCCCTTCGGTCCGTGGCTCTTTAGGACTGGTCGCTTCGCTGCTAAATTCTTGGGGCTTAGCTTTCTGCGCTGATCACGTTCGGGGAGTGTCCAACATTCTGGCAGACGGGTGTTGCGCTTCATTCCTCTTTCCACAGAGTGGACAGTCAACACTGCCTCGTTCTTTTGTTTTTGCTGGACGTACGGGTTCCCTGACGGGGGGAACCTGCTTGCATCGCCGTGGTTTTGGCGTCTTTGATTGTACATGGCACTGTTCTCCTGTTCTCATGTGCCACCTGAGCTTTCTATAGACCATGTTCTTGCTTTTTTTCCCCTTGCTCTGTTGTGGCCCCTTCAGTTGGGGATTGCTTTTGGAAGGCCTTGTTTTTGTTGGCCTTGGCCTCTGGGGGTTGGGTTGGGGTGCTTCATGCTCTCCTCCGATGCCGGGGGTTCTTTTGTTTTGTCCAGATAGTCATTTTATTCCTTTGCAGCCTTCTCCTCCTTTCCTGGTCAAGAATGAGACTGCGGGCTTCTAGAGAGGTCCGTTGATTGTGGATGCTTGGTTGACTATGCCGGGGGTGCATCACGTGTTGTGTTCTGTAGCAGTTTACGCAGCTACGTGCAGGGCACTGGTTCTGTGACGGTGGACAGTCTTTGGGTGGATCTGGTTTCCCTGGTTCCCTGTTCAAAGTGTCGTGTCTCTCAGGTTGTCTGCAGTGTCATAAAGTCCAGCCAGTCTGGACTTTTTGCGGTCTACCCTTGTGCCCATGACCTTCGGAAGTATGCTGCTCTTGCAGCGATTTTTGGCAACGTGTCTTGGGTGGACATTCATGTGCGAGGGTTTTGGAGGTTGAATTGGGTCTTGGCCAACAGGTATCTAGTGAACGTTTCGGTTCTTTCCCGGCCGTGTGTGACTTTGGGGGTACCTGTCGTGGCAATCTCTCTTCTTCATCTTGAGATCTGAGGTGCTACTGCCTCCAGGGTAAGTCCCTACTTTTACTTATCTTTAGGTAGTTAGCATCTGGGAGCCGATGAGACTCCCCACAGAAAACCAGCGTTGAATGTAATAAAATGCCATTTTCTGGGCAAGTCCAGGATTTCCATGACACCCTCCTTCCCTCTGGTCGTCAGTTTTTCATTGTTTAAGAACTGAGTGACAGGCTGCCAGCTCCGGTGAGCCAGTTTCTCCCCCCAACCCCCACCCCCTTACTTAGGTAATGCTGACAAGTGAAAAGTGCTTGTCGCATAAAGGTTTGCTTGTTTGGTTTCTTTCTAGGGAAGTTATTTTGATCTTTTTGGATATAGATTGCACAAGTTAACCAGACAGTGGTCTGTTTTGATTTGCCTACCTTTCTGGATAATTGCCATCCCCAGGCGATGGCAATTATGACATACTTTAAATATGAAGTGCTCATAGGCCATTGCTCCCTGCACCTCTCTGAGTGGACCAGATTCTGGCTTGTGGTTCCCATTAGGTATAAGAACTTCTGTGACTGGTGACCCCAAACTAACATAACACACACCAGTTCAGATAGTTTCAGGAAGCCTCCAGGATTCACCCAGAAAATGGCATTTCATTACATTCAATGCTGGGTTTTTTCCTTTTGTAAACTGTTATCCTGTTTATAACTTTTCCCTGCCAGTACTCTCACACCCTGATCACTATACAGTACTTGAGTATTTAAACCCTGAAAGTGACTATTCCACTGGCTGAAATTATGGTTCTCATCCTTTGTGTGCTTGTCATGTTTGCCAGAGTTGTTCAAATTACAGTATCAAAGAATATTGTATTTTCCTTGCAATGTTCGTCTAGCTAGCAATTGATAGCAGTTGCTTTGGATGTTCAAGTATTGCCGATCCTTTTCTCACAGAAGGCCATGTCTTACTGGGATCCCTTCTTTGTGCCTAATTCTGTCTATTGTTACTATGTAATTGAGGAAAAATGCCTTGCTTCCACATTTCCAACATCATTCCCTGTTTCGTTGTAGCTAATAACAGGTTGGTTCCCTTTACTGCTCAAGATATTGTCCATCCTATTGACTTCATCACCTATCCCAATTACAAGGAGCACAAAACTATCTTATTTTTCCTGTCATTGTCATAAAATGTCTGGTCCATATTCCTTATTGGCAGTGTTTGCATCATATCCTGGCCCATGCTATATTAATCTTACTTTGGTCCTTGATCTAATCTATTTAGTGGTAGTCTTGTAGAGCAGCGAAGGGTTCACTCGACTCCTTCACTTATCCCTACACTTTTCTGCATGATGACGGTCGGTATCTCACTTTTCTATTTCCAGTGAAGATGATTTGTAATTTCTCATTCAGTTAAAAGAAACTGTATTTACTAGTACCTTTTTTCCAAAGATTTGTTGAGTGAGACACTGTTAGTCAAGCTAACAGCTGCTGTGATGTCATTTATGCTAAGATTTTTTCCTCGGCAAATGGCAATAATAGCAAAACCTCCAAGATATGAAATCCTTGGTAGTTCAAAATTGGTCTAGTCCCATGTGTTTCATCCTATCGAGGTTACACTGTTTTCATATACTGTACAGTATTTGACTCGCTGGTGTTTGCAGTTTTCATTTGAATCCCCCGCATCCTGCCTTTTCTTCATCTATTCCTCTCTGAAACTTTTATGTTGTGTTCATTTTATATTTGGTATTTCTCTGCTAATATGTATTTAGTGTGTGTGTGTGTATATGTATATATATAATACAGTATTCTGTTTATATAGTATGGTATATGCATTTATTTGTTGCTAATAAATTTACTAATACAGTTTAATATTACTAACTTGTGTGTTTTATAAACGTTTTCATTCACCACAGAGCCTTTCATCATCTAGTGTACTTTGAAGCTCACATAATTATTTATTAATTTAAATTTATATAAAAAATTGTTGATACAGACTTGCTGTGTTTATATTTAAAGTAGCTAACAGAAAATAGTATGCATTTAAATGTGTGTTTCTGTGTATTTAAAGATGATAATTTAACAAATTTGTATGTACCAAGTTTAATCAAAATTAATTCTCTCATTCTATTGTTAAATATACTGTATCTCCATATATCAATCTTTTCATGAGGGGGATGGTTTCATTAAACACATCTTTAATGGTTTGTGTCCCTTTTCCCATTACTGTGTATGGATGTGTTCTTGTGATTCTACTTTTTATGAGACTTGACAGCCCTTTCTGAGCAGGTTCATTTGACTGCTCCCTGAGGTAAGCAAGATCCACTGTGTCCAAAGAACACCATTGTGCAGTCAGATAGGATAACATACCGACACTGGTGCCACAGGGAACATTTCAAATGGTCTTTGCATTTAAAGTTCTAGGCAATCACTGAACATTCAGTTTATTCATTCCTCAAGTCATTTATTCATAAAAATACATATAAAAATTTAACCCTTCTTTTGACATCATAAGTGAATGCCAAGAGAAAACTCTAATTTCCCTTTTGATTTCTCCTCCTATTTGGTGGGACTTACATTTCTCTGAATTGAGGCTGGTTCTTTTGTTCCACTTAGAACTGCTATTTCTGGGAAAACACACAATCATTGCAATTCTGTATTGCAATGTGCAATATAGAATTGCACATTGCATGAAGCCCCCCCCCCCCTTTTATGTGTGCATCCAGTGCACAGGGCAGCGACCACGCTACCCTCGTCAGTGTGGCACACATGTCCGAGGGGAAAATGTGCCAGGTCGGGAGCAACCCTCGCCTGAACCACACAACTTATTATTTGATTTATTAAACCAATATTTTCCTGCCTAAAGTTTGAGGCAAGTTGACGTAGTATAAAATAAGGAACACATTATTATTGTACACGATTTGCCAGACTAGAGCCAAGCGGGTGAAGGTTGGAGCGGAAAGCTCTTGTGTTGCTTTGACAGTCTCAAAGAGCTTTGGACAGCCTCCCGTCATGCTGTCTTTCTTCCGATAACGACAATCTAGTAGTTAGCAAAGTTTTCTTTGGCAGTCACTTGTGATACCAAGATTGGATTCAGTTTTTATGATTGAACTGCTGTTGGTTTTTCTGAGCTGGACTAAGTGTTCTCCTGGGATACTCTAGAACTTAATAACACTGCAGGGGATTGCATGAAAAGTTCTGACACCATTGTTTGTATGTTGTCCTACAAACTGTACATGATCCTGACCTTGAATGCAACAGATCTTACTTGCCTTGGGGAGCATTCAAATGATTCACTCCGAATGGTGATTTTCATGTACATGTAACATGAAGCCTTATTAATCTTTATTTTATAACTTGTTGGTGTGGGATATTAATTTGCATTTATATTTTATTTTCCTTACTGTGCGTTATCTGATGGTGTAAAGGTATTCGGTTAGCATGACTGGGCCCGTAGCCTAGTATTTCCGCGGGTTTACATTAATATTTGTTTGTTTTATAACTTTTTGGAGATAAATAAACCAGTTTCACTTTCTATTTATCTTAATCTTTTATTATATAAACAATGTTTATCTCTTTCAACTTTTTTTTTTTTTTCTCTGGCTTTCTGAATTTTTGTGTTTCTGATTTTGCCATTAAATTGTTTGATGTATAGTAACATTGAATTACTTGACGAGCAGTAATATTGTACTTCATCTTGTAGTAGTTAAATTTTTAGGGTTTTCTTATTCTAGTCAAAACAGTTGTAAAGGTAATACATTTTAGTCAAGTATCTTACCATGATTAAGTTTGAATAGAAAAGAAACTAGATTGTCAAACTTTGTTATAGTCATACTGAGCTGTTGAGACAATAATGTTGTTGTTGTTGTTGTGCAGAGTGTTGTGCACGAGGGTGGCCTGGTACCCAAGAGCATGTACCAACCAGGAGAGGACGTGGACGGCACCAGACAGCACATCCCACTCTCTGACCAGTCCATCTATCACTCGGTCTCTTTGGCCCGTAGTCAGGTACATTGTGTGTAGCAATTTTGATTTAGTCTAGCAAAGCACCTAGAATAATAAGGTTTTTTGGTCTGCTTATAAAGCAAACCAAGGATATCAAGAAGTAAATTTAAAAAACTCCAAGTGCCTCTTGGATATTAAACACAAACATGATATTCATAACTTTGAGTACATCAGTATGAGTACAGGGTTACACTTGGCAAAGGTTTGCTTTTCATTAGCTTTTATATTATTTGCACCGAGGTTTTATCTACAACAGAAAATGCAACTAAAGCCATTATAGTGTAAATTTCACACTTTGTATGCAGTGTTCAGATGTCATATTATACCAGACAACTAGAAGATTTGGGGAAATATATTCTGTTTTTCTGGTGTCAGTTTTCTGATTCTGGATGAATAGGAGAAATAAGTACAGTATGTGATTTGTTTCCAGCTTCCTTGTGACATATTGTTCTGCCAGTAGTTACATGGAAGATCTGGACTCACTCTTTTTTAGTTTTAATTAGAAGGCTAATGTAAAAAAAAAAGTGTGTGAAATGCCTTTCTGAGCAGACTTCCTTGGTAGTCCCTTAAGTTAAGATTCCACTATCATTTGGGGGAGAAAATTCTGGACTTAGGTTGGGTGCCATTTTAGGTGAACCAGTGAAGAGTGGAGGTGCCATAGGCACAATCAGAGAACACTTTCTGAACATCAGAGGTCCATGGTTGTTCAACACCCTCCCAGCAAGCATTAGAAATATTGCCGGAACAACCATGGACATCTTCAAGATAAAAGTACCTGTAGATAGTTTTATTTAAGAAGTGTTGGACCAACCAGGCTGTAGTGGATATGTGAGCCTGCAGGATACTCCAAGCCTGGTGGACCAAGCTCTCACAAGTCGAGCCTGACCCCAGGCTGGGCTTGGGGAGTAGAATTTCCCTTAGAACCCCATCCAAATACAGGTATTGGCACCACAGCAAACTTAAAATGTCTATTTTAAATCATTCCAGAAATAGGGAGTTTGGGAGATAATGTGTGAGGGTTTTACTTTGGATCTAATTAAGTTCCCTTTGTACACACCCATCCGGTAGTCCCGGGCTGGACACCAGATGTTAAGATAACTCGAATAGACCAGGCGAGAGCAAATGGCGAGGTCCAATACTTTGGGCCACAAATCTCTAGGTCATTAACTCCTCAATTGCTAACCAATCTAGAGGGGTAGTTAATGGGTTCTCACACCAGATTTAGTATTTAGTGATTGGGCTGTTGGGTTTGATCCCAAGAGCTGAAACCAGTTACACAAGATAATTAAGTAGCTTGTAGCAGGGCAGACTGTAAGGGGGCAGTACTCTTTGAAGGTATGACTTTGACATTTTTTTTGTAATAACAACAATTTGTTCAAGTAAACTTAACACTTTCGCGCTCTCCGCAAAGGTCACTCAGCCAACCGAATGTGCGCGCTGCGTTTTTATCGCTTAAGCGTAAAAACAAAAATGTGTATACTCTTTTTACTCTTCTGACCTTAGTTCTCATGCTACGTATTTCATTTTGGTACCAACGTGTTCGCAATAAAATTCTCTAGAAGAACATTAGTAAAATAAGTCACGAAACATATAGGGATACCAGCACCAAATAAATAACTACGTAGATGACTCGCCGTGAGCGCCCATCAGCAACAAAATGTTTTTACTCTTGGGATTGTAATCACCTCCACACTTGCTCTACAGCGTTAATTTTGGTATCAATGGACTCGCAATGAAATTCCCAACACGGTGATATGAATATAAGCGTAGAATAATGATGCAGCCCGCCCGCAAGAGTGTGGGAAGTGGTGAAATTGTTACCCGGTATCGGTGACGGGACGACGCACGGCGCTTTGAAAGTTTATACTTATTTCACTCTCATGACATTAATTTTCTATGTACGTCATTCATTTTTATGTCAATGTGTTTGCAATAGAATGTTCTATGTGCCCATAGGTAAAAAATATCAACAAAGCGTAAGTTAGAATAGCGACAAATATAAAACAACGCTGGAACATATCAGTGAGCGTCAAACACACACGAAATATTTTTACTTTTGTTATGTTTGTCAAGATTATACTTGTTGCACACAGTTATTTTTGGTTGTATATTGATCGGAATAAAATTCCCTAAACAGACATATGCATATAATACATGATATGGGGGAAGAATTACCAGTATAAACGGCTAAAGTCACCCACCTGCAACCCGTTTGGGACAAAATACCATTTGATCGAAGTTATCCACACCTTTCATGAACTTATTGTACCATGCAGCCTAGTGGTGAGAAAGAGAGCCTCATAGCGCGCAGTTTGAAACAAACCCAAAGTAAATCGGATAAAAATTGAATTTTATACAAATATTTTAAAAGTTGACATAACTTTATGTCCACTATGCGTTTACGTTAGACGAAACCGAACGCGCCGGCGCGTCCAGATAGCGCGAAAGTGTTAATGAGTAATGCATAGCAACAACAGTTTAACATTACATTAATTCTCAAGTGTCGCTTCACAGCTACATAATGTCGGCCGCAGCAGGAAAACAATCTCACCACTGCCTGACAATCGGGAGACCTCGTCTCGACCTTCTTGCATGGGCAAGCAGAAACAAAGTGAACTAACTGAACATTAGTGTACACTCGGACTCGATTGCAATCAACACACTGATAATAACAATCAAAACAATGCAAAACTTGTCACCAAGACAATCTTCAAATCCTGTCCGAAGTTCAAAGTCAAAGCCAAGTCCGAACCATCCCTGCTTCAGACTTCGCTGGGCTTAGTATGAGATTCTCGGGCTGCATCCATCTCTCTCCCTCCTGCAACTCTGCTCTGGCTGCAGTCCCGCCTTCGGCTGTTTTTGAAGGGGGACCCAGGTCACTCGGCAATTACTCAAGCAGCTGAGCGGGAGCCTGAACTTTGCTCTGGTGGTTTATTTGCTGGGCAGAGTTTGGCTTTGGAGGCTGTTCTGGTGTCTTTGGGGTGGCCTGTTTCACCGCTTTCGCAATCGCTGGGTTCGATTCCCCGGTGTTCTGGCGTCGGCGGGTTTTGATCATCCGAGAACTGAAGTGGTGGACTGCTGTCTCTCCCTCACCCCCTTATGAGGGGGGGAAGAGGGGGTTTGTGCTGATGAGCAGAAGTGCTTGTCACATAAAGGGTTGCTTGCTTGTTTCTTTCTAGGAGAGTTTTGATCTTTTAGGATGTAGATTACACAGGTTAACCAGACAGTGGTCTGTTTTGATTCACCTACCTTTCCGAGTGCCTTCCCCAGTCAATGGCAATTATGACATGCTTTAAATGTAAAGTGCTCATAGGCCATTGCTCCCTGCTCCTTTCTGAGGGGACCAGGTTCTGGCTCGTGGTCCCTGGTAGGCATAAGGACTTGTGTGACTGATGACCCCAGACTAATATAGCCCATATTAGTTTGGATAGCTTCAGGGAGCCCCTGGGGCTCGCCCAGAAAATGGCATTTCATTACATTCAACACTGGTTTTTTACATAATTTATTACTGTGTATTTTTCTTAATATGCATATTTTTATTTACATGCAGGTGCATGAGGTTGTGTTGCTCATAGAGGAACCAGGATCGGTCATATGTTGGGATTTTGATGTAATGAAGAATGATGTATCTTTCTCTGTCTTGCGAACTAAAGTTCCCATAACACATCGGCCAGAGACGCAGTCTCCAACTGGTAAGTGCTCTGGCTTAATAATAAGTAAATGAATTTAGTTTAGATTATTTTATGAAAAAGAATGAGACTTGGTAATTAATGCAATTTTGTGGGTAGGCCCTCTCTTAGTTGCCCTTGCTTACAAGTATTGGATGCACTTATTCTGTAACAGTTTCTGCTTACCTGGAGCAAGATTGACATACTTCTAAAATGAACTGTCCCAAAAAAGTCGGCTTTTATTTTCTCGATAATGTGTAGTGTTGATGCCCTCTTTGGTGAATAACACATGGCTCCCCAAGTTGTGTGCTCTGGTCCCTGTGCCATGTTTCCCTAAATTAGGCTGTATGCCCTGGTGCTGGGCTGTTAATCTTGTTTATCATCTTGAGCACTTGGGCTGTGTATGAATGTGCTCCCTGCTTTACTGAGGGTGCAAAAGGAGATTGCAATAGTACTTATTCCAGTATGTAATAAGTCTCTGAGAATATCTAAGAGTTCTCCAAATCTGCTGTGTAATGGCCAGTGTGTAAGCTTGGGTACTGAAGTGGAGCCTTGAAAGGGGCGTTTATTACACTGCTCTGATAGTTTTATACATTTAGCTGTGATGAAAATCCAGGTAAGACGGAGGCTTCATTTTTTTTCTTGATTGTACTGTATAAGTAATGGGAATCGTGTATAATGCTAACTTAACCAGAGTAGATTTCTTCCAATATATTCTAAGATTTGGATAACTGAATCTGGATAATCATTTGAATATTGTACATGATGTGTTTTGATTGTTATTAATTGTAATTCAACATATTTGAGTAAATAAATATTAACTATGACAATTAGTTTAAATATAGGTTATATCACACAATATGGTACAGGATAATTTGCACATGGGCTGAAAGAAAAGTACTGTATTCTTAAAGTATTATGGAAGTTGTCTTGATTAAGCACTCATTATTAAACCTTATTATAAGAATTTTTTTTAACAAGACGGTGTAAGATAAGAAATACTATCTCTTAGGAGCAATGGGAGTTATTGATGCAGTAATGGGCAGTGACGATCAACACCGCTCTGCTATTGAGAAAACTTGGCGGGAAGGTCACGAATACTTCCGTGTTGAGCCTCAACTGATCTGCCACGATGGAGAGAGCATACAGGTTGGTTGTTTTCAGAAGGCTTCTTACTGGAATTGAAATGGTTTGACACTGCCTTGGAGTACCAGTATTTGGTAAATTTATATAGAATTTTCTATTCCCAGTATAGTGGTAGGATGCCACCTTCATTTGGTAGTATGAAAGTTCTCATTCATACAGTATTAAGGCTGTCACAGAAGTACCAGTAAATAGAACATGTGAGAAATGGTAAGTACAGTCCATTAGGGCTTCAAGTTGAAGGTTTTAAATATTTGTCCTGCTTTGTCACTGAAGAACAAGGAGTTCTTCACCTAAAAACTTTGTGAACTCTTATTGTCTTATTTTTTGTACATTATTTAGAAATTTTCCAAAGTACTGTACTCTGAAATTTTGCCTTCGTAAGACGTAGTTACTTTTGCCTACGTCTGTTTTCTTTGCTAATTCAAAAAGTTTGAGTGCTTGTAGATACAATATGTAGTAATCATTAATGGTCTATTTCAATTCATTCTTAGCTTTCTTTTTGCCTATATTTCTGGGACAGATGATGGTATTGGATACAATCTTTGCTCTATAAGAAATAAGGATTTAGCACCTACTGTAGTATTTTTAAGCATAGATCTCTTATGGTATAGCAACATTTCCTGAAACAATGTAGTGAAAGATTATTTATGGCCTGGTATTCATGTTTTCCAAATATTAGTGTGTTTATACAAATGGTCCAAGGAAAGGAATGTATAAAAGTTTTAATATTATTTCTCGTGTGGGGTGGGGAGGCATCAGCCCAGAGAAGATAGGAGAGCACTATAGGAAAATAAAGGTACATTAAACCTGTTCTCTCCCTCTGTCTTTCTACACATAGTTGTCATGGTATACCACAACCACTACACTAAAACATCCGTAGCAGTATCTCGCCACTTCTTAATCCTTAGCACTATACTCGAATCTAAAAATGTTTGAAAATGCCATTTTATGAGTTTTTCTTTCAAAATGACAGTTCAAAATATAGAAAAAATTTTACTATTTTTAAAATAGAAGTTTTGTATTTCCTTAAATATACAGATTTTTATAATCACAAACCACTAAGCAGTTTTAGTGGGTGTAATAATCTCATAACCAGTTATCAAGAGTTCAGGTTAGCCCCGCATATTGTGCGTGAAGTTGTAACTGAACGCATTGAATATATACTTTTTATGACCTTTTTACTCCGATACTCGATAGAATTCTTGGTGAATCGGATACTTTTGACATCGTTTTGCCTTGTGCATTTCTGTTCCCGTATTGGCATCCTTGGTGATATTTAGCGCTCTGATTATTCTGCACATTTGATGGTGCTACATAACCTTCCTGGTTTGGTGCCTTCTTTTGATAATTACTTACTCCCATACTCTATATCTTGCATCTCCATCCCCCTTCACTTTGTATACCCAGAATCCACTTTTATTTTAAAGTGCTCTTGCCACTTGTCTCATGTCACCAAGCACTTTTCCTCACTGCCAGTTGTGCAGCACTCCAGCATGACATTCTTTATCAAACATTCCTTGTTTTATATATACCTGCCATGTCACTGGGGGTTAAGTGGTTCATGATCTTGTTTGAAGATCACTATCAACACTCCTGTTGCACTTGTCAATCAGTCAAGTCTGATTAGATTATCAGGAAAGTTTTATTATTTGTAAATGTGTGCTTATTACACTTTTATAAGTTATGTAAATACAGTAGCGTGTTAAATGGAAAATCTTTAGAAGGTTGGCCATAGATAATCTCACCAACTTCATTTTACTCTTCACTATAAAGAAATTTCAGAAATTGTGCCTGCATATTAGTAGTAGATCATTCAAGTAGAGCCTTCACACGAGTTCAACTTCCACAGCATGATACTATAGTCGTTGTAAAGCCAGCCTACCATCCTCGGCCCAAGTAACTAATAAGATACGGTAGTAACACTTCAGTTTTCTGGAATTCAGTTAACCACATCTTGATCATTACTTCACAGTACAGGTCATTTCTGTGAAGAAATAAGGAAAATTATTTAAATATTTATGTTGATTTTTAGTGCATAATAAAAATAGTAGATTTCATTAATAATTTTATCAAATGTATGATTGATCAAAAGTTTTTGTAATTATTTAACATGAACCAATGAAGGCTTCATATGAGGTAAAAAGAAAACAAATCATATTCCATTTTTTTGTCGTGCTGTTTTCAAGTGAAGTCATCTTAAACAACTTGCAGCTTACTGCCATTCCCATTTCACACAAGCTTTTAGTTCTAATTAAGTTATCATTGATAACCTTAAATTCAACTACTGCACTGTATGTACTAAAGTACTCAAAGGATTAAATTTGCCATTTATGTCCCTGTGATTAAAGTTGTGCTATATAATAGTTTCAACTTCTTATCATATATTTACTCATATCTGGCCCCATATGAGTTTTTACTTTTGCAATTTTTAAATAAATTTCTCACTCTGAGTTTCTAAAATGTTAAATTATTTGTTATTAATGTGTCATTTCAGTGTAATTTCCTAAATATTGCTAATTACCCTTGTCTTTAGTACAGGATAATAATGTAAGTAAATGGTTTGAAATTAAGATTGAGATAAGCCAAGAATGTGTAATGTCATTACCTGTATGGCCATTATAGTGTAGAATAGGAGTTAGCAACAGTGGATATGGAAATAATCAATATTGAGTCAGAATAGAAAGGTGGTTTGTTAATTAAAAGTGCCAATTAAAAAAATAATGAGACTTTGAATGTAAACAGAGCTGCTTTTTTTTTGTCTGCATTTTTTTTTAAGATGCTCACATCAAATCATTAGTTGTGTAAAGGAGCCAATGGAAGTTTCTTTATTTAGCTGAAAATGGCATTAGTAAAGTTCTTTCCTCTACATTCGAAAATATTCTCAAAGTAAAGGGATGCTTAGGCCTTCAAAACAGTGCCCCGCATGAGGATGAATAAACACCATGGAAGAAACTAGCTCGTGTCATACTTGTGCATCATAAGTAACTGCTATGGATGATGTCATACCAAGCAAATAAAAGGCAGTCACACAGTGAGATAATTACCAAGAAGATAATTACCAAAGAATCAGCCCCTAGACCCACATTGTTACTGATGCTTTTGATCAATCTCCCAGTGACAGTTCTTTGTATCCACGTTTGCAAATGTTGCAAAGCTAATGAGATAAAATAGAAATGGAAAATGATTGTTAAAAGCAGTATGAGGACATGGTTACAGGAGGTTTATCCTAAAAATACAAATGTAAATAAAGTCTTTGAACCCTTTTTGGATTGTGTACCAGATACAGAAGATAGTGTGGAGACATCACATGAGACATCTGGAGACGGTACTCATATTTGCTACCGGTGAAGGAGGTAAAGGAATTATTGGCCAAGAGAGCTAAAGGCCAGTTGCTAGTGGAAATAAAATATGGTCACAACATAAAAGATATCTGAAAGTTTTAACAAGACAAATATGATAGAATTAATAATTTATTCAATGTAATGGTAATGAGGGAGGAGCTGAGGAAAACTTCATACGGAAATTCAAATGTAAATATGACTTGTGTAAGGTTAGGTAGAAATTATACCAGGTAACTGTTTCCAGAAGTTGGGGCTAGATTCCTTCAAAAACAAGTGAGAACACAATGATACATATGTAGGACAACTGGTTAACTGAATTTTACAATGAGGTGGTATTGCTGTGTTAATGGTAGCCTTCCTGTCATCCATTTAGACTGGGCCTTGCTCTTCCTCTAGCTTGGTTACATTTTTCATGTAAATATCTTGCTAGCCAATGTGTGTGTTATTGTATATTGTCTTCCTTCATTGTGTTTCCCTTGTTTTGCATTTTTCCCCCTTCCCTTCTTCAAGTATCATGAGAGAACGGGGCATGAAGGCTGCGGAATGGACCATCAACCTGTGTATCATGAAGGCGAGAGCATACAGGTCAGACTTTGTTGCATCCTATCCACCATCTTTATCTTTACCTCTATTGAGGATTACAGTACAGTATATTGTAATTTGTTATTGAAGTAACATAAAATAAAATTTGCAGTGACTCCTTTCATTTTATTGTTGTTGTCAGGCTAGTAATTAATGCAGGACACATTTTAACAAATAAGAGACTGGAAATATGTGAAATATGAAGCTGCATTATGTATTTTATAATTTTTTCCCCTCGGTAACTTTTCTTGGCCGAGATGAATCGGCACTGCTATCATCATGATGTATCGGGAATTTTACATTATAAAATTTTACCCTGTAGATTAAATATCCCCTGTATGGGTAAATTAGCTTTTCACAAGTTTATTTTTAATTTCTGTGGAGAGCCCCTTTGGCTCCCTGCAGATATAGCAGGCTAATGTGTATACATATTAGACCATGGCAACAGTCAATCGATGGAATTCTAGGCTTACCGAGGGCCAGTGCAGTAACCTGGCCCCTGAGAGAGGCATGAGGAGCAATGACCTATAGACTCCCCCCATGTAATTGGAAGCAGTCTGTCTGCCATCTACCAGGTCAGGCATCCAGAAAGCTAGGAATTCCAAAACTACAGCTTGTTAAAACTTACAAACCGAAAGCTAAACTAGCAAGCAGATCTCCCTAATCAAAAACAAGCAAACATGACGTCACCACAGCCGCTACGCCGCTATCTGCGCAACTCTCCCCCCCCCCCCCTCCCCGGGATGGGAAAGAGGGAGTCCCGTGCCTCTTGTTTTTCCCTGCATTTTAACATTAGTATGTAGTGAGACATCACAATGTCATTGAAAAGGTTGAGCCAACAGCCTATTGCAGCGTCATTTGGGCGAGTTGTTTCAACAAAACTTTGCATTTCCTCCCGTATTGCACACCACTTCTCTAATTGTTGAGGAACCCATGGAGTGGTGTATAATTACTTTTATGTTTAGAAAGAGAAAAGCTGAAAAACAATTAAATTCTTTACAAAGAATTCGAGCGCGATCGTCACTTGCACAATCATCACATTCTCAGACAAATTCTACTGTGTTAGAGGTATTAATGGGGGTAGTAAATTAAGAGTGACATGTTGGCAGCTTATGTTCTTCTGGTTGCTTCCAAGTCACGTCACACTCTTAATTTACTACCCAGTTAATACCTCATTAATACCCCATATACAGTGTAATGTCATTCATCCATGTCGCCTACCACCTCACTATTAGAGGATATAACCAGGTGCTCGCACAGTAGAATTTGTCTGAGAATGTGAGGCGAGACCTTACGAAATGCATCACTTGGCGTCAGACCCAGATAAAAAGTAAAAATGAACTTTGAGAGTTAATTTTTAATCTTCGTGTTTCAGTGAAGAAAACATAAGGAATACAGTATCAAGAAGATTCATGCCAGAATCATAAATCTAAAACTTTGTCATTTTCAACGAAATGATGTGTGTGTGTGTCATTTATTTATTTGATTAAAAACTGGATTAACAATATAAATTCTTTAATTCTCATATTATTTTTGTGTTTTCAGGGTTCTCATGTTACCTCACACATGGGCACATACATACTGCAGTGGCGTTATTATGAGTCAAGCCAGCACACATCTCCACTTGATATAATTGATTCCATAACAGCACCCAAGTCTAAAATTATGTACTACTATGAGACACTCAAGTCAGCAGACTATAGGTAAGAGCTCACTGATACTGTATTGAATTTCACTTTTTGAATGTAACTACGAAGACAAACTCTGGCTTTGAATATTAAAAACTCAATTTTAACTACTTGGATGCTCCCTTAGGCAAGGTATATGATCCTTGGGATTTGGGACAGGGTGTGGGGAAGGAATGATGCCCAACCACTTGGGTGGAAAGGGTGAGTTTGTATGTTAATGATGGCAGATAATGCAAAACTAGAGATTACAAACCGAGGAACCATAAAACTCTACAGGAAAACCTCGACAAACTGCAGATGTGGGCAAATATATGGCTGCTATAATTCAATTCCAGTGAGTGTAAGGTAATGAAGATGGGTAGGGATGAAAGGAGACCAGAAGGATACTGCACTCTGAGGTAAGCAATTACTTGCATCAAAATGAGATTTAAGAGATATAATATTTAACCAGAAGTGATACCATCAACGTGGACAAATAGGATAACATTACCACCATATTAGACCATGGCAGACACGAGAACAGCATTCAAAAACTAAACCAGGTGGTAACTTATTTTAAACCAGGTTTAGAATATGTAGTGCCAGCATAAAAGCTATATCTAATGAAGCACAGATAAAATTAACTATATCAAGAGATATGTAACAAGGCTAGTGCCTAAACTAAGAGGTCTTAGCTAGGATGACGGGTGAACTCGATCAAATAACCAGAGATGAGAGAAGGGTTATGATCAAATTGAATATAAATAAGACGAGAGGACCAACTATAGCTGGAAACATAGATGAGCCAGAGAGAAGTACGGTAAGAAAATGCTCTTATGGTTTGAGTAGTCAACAAATGGCATGCATTTATTATAATATTAAAGTTACTTTCATTAACATTTTTCAAAAGTAACTGTAACAGTAACAAGAAATTTAAGTACATTGAGTACAAACAGCTGTAAGGGAAGGCAAAAGAGGTAGCTCTTGCCTGCTATTTTGTGCATGGTGTTGGGCAGTGTCCTTTGTATTGCCCTGTTGATTGTTGTTTAATCTTTCTTTCACAACGAACTGAATATCTCTTGTATATGCCTGCTCTCCTGGGTACTGATACAGTAGCATTTCATATGCATATAGCATACATTTGTAGCATGCCAGCTGTATAAAGCTTAGATTTTGAAATACTCCATAACTTTATCAATGTCAAATTGGTCACTATTAGCTTTTGAGTCACACATGCTGAAAGCTGAAAAGTGGCCAATGTTCATTATATAGAAGCCAACAAGGGTCATGTGATGCAGGCAGATATCCTGCTATATGAAGCAGAATTTGAAAGTGGTCACCTCCATAAAGGCCATTAAGCAGTCATAAATGCAAGAACAGTACATCACTAGACTAGTGTTATGGTTTGGCAAGAGAAGGAAAAGAATCAAATTCTTTTTTTATCAGACAAAAAACTATGCTTGCCCATATAGACATAAGGTAAATACATACAGTAAGTCAAAACAGACTTTGGCACACCACACTCAGTCCTAAGATTCTTCTTTTTTTTTTTTTTTTTTGAATAGAACTCGTATCAACTTGTTTGTAGAATCAAGATTTAACAGTCTTGTTGGATCAACAGACACATGTCACCTCGGGTGCGCCTGCGCCTTCGTGTGCCTTCGGGACTAGTGTTGGCTTCTGTGTTCTCGAGGGTACGGGAAGGTTTTTTTTTTTTTTTTTTTTTCGCCCTGGGGCTACTTGTCGCCCTGTTGGGCTACTTGTCGCCCTGTTGGGCTACTTGTCGCCCGGTTGGGCTACTTGTCGCCCGGTTGGGCTACTTGTCGCCCGGTTGGGCTACTTGTCGCCCGGTTGGGCTACTTGTCGCCCGGTTGGGCTACTTGTCGCCCGTTTGGGCTACTTGTCGCCCGTTTGGGCTACTTGTCGCCCGTTTGGGCTACTTGTCGCCCGTTTGGGTTCCCTTTTTTTTTGGGCTCTTTGCTTCTTTGGCCGGTTTTATTGTTCCTGCTTCCTCTTTTGGCTCCTTTTCTCGTGCAATAGTCCTGGCTGGCGCCTTCCCGCAGGGAGGGTGTGCGGTTCGGCCAGCGTGTTATGCGCATGCGCCGTGGAGTTTGTTTTGGTCTGGGCGATGGTTCAGTGCTGGGGTTTTGCGCCCTTTTTTGCTACAGTGCTTCGCCTCTCGTTCTTCTCCCTGGCTGCGGTATGTGCCCCTTTGCACCAGGGGTGTCCTGGTTCCCAGTTGTGGGGAGGACACCGCGGTTTTCTGTGTCATGGGTGTGGACCGCCTCCTTCGCCTCTCCCTGTTCTCCTGCGGGTCCGGCTCTGGCGTCTTCACCTGGCGGTGCTCCCAAGTTCTTCTGGGCACGGTTGAGTCGTGTCAAGTTCGTGCCACCATTCGCCAGGTGAGTTTCTGCGGTCTGGCGTCTTTTGGCCGGGCGCTGGATGCGGCGGTGTTCATATACCTGTTTTATTTAGGTATAATTTTGTACGACTGAGACCGTTCGCACACCAGTGACTGTCCCTTTATCACCCCTTCCTGTCCCCCTCATGTGCATGTCCAACCCATGCTAGAGTCATTCAGGGGACCCTTCTTTTTTAATGTTGTGAGGTGGAGGGGTTGTAGGGTTGGTTCTGTACTCACCTGGTGAGGCTCCTGGGTGTGCTTGCAGGATTTGAGCTCTGGCTCTTGGGTCCCGCCTATCTGGTAGAACTTGTGGGATAGTAGCAGTGGTGCTATTGGCACTTTTGGGGAACACTGTATTACCATCAGTGGTCTGTGCTTGTTACACGACCTACTTGCGAGCATAAGCCTTCTTGCTGGTTCGTCCGTGGACTTCCAGGGCGCACTGGCCTGTTTTCGTATGGCACAGGGAATATATATATCATAATATGAACCAAACACAAGTGACACTAAATACCACACACCACACTCAGTCCTAAGATTCTTTTTTTTTTTTTTTTTTTTTGGTCGTATCAACTTGTTTGTAGAATCAAGATTTAACAGTCTTGTTGGATCAACAGACACATGTCACCTTAAAGTTCAGTTCACCAAAGTCTTTGAGCCTAAGTTTGATAGAGAGAGAATGGCTACTGTCCCCCTCTGGCCTGGGGAGGCCCATCTGGCAGCTGGAGCCTCTGGACCAGCGATCCAACTCACTCCTGTTCGATCTTCAGTCCTCTGTGTCTCTGAATGTACAGTTTCATGGGTATTTATGGGGAAGCCCCACCTACCCAGTAAGACATCCATAGGCTCTCTACCTAAAGTCATAAATAGTGGCTCGTCTGAAGGACACGCCCAGCTACCCGTCTGCAATTATTGGCTTAGGAGAAGGTAAGGTCACCTCACACGACCTTACCTGTTGCCATTAACACTCTAGAGGTATGATTTTTAATTGCTAAGGCCAGACAATCTGGCACCGTCCAATATCCTGTATGACTGACTCTCGTTGTATAAAATAAATTACAAAACACATTTATGGTGTTACATTAATACTATAATAACAATTGGACAACTGCTGTAATCCTTCTTTTAAGCATCTTTCTGCTCTCTCAACCAGACCATTTGAGGAGGACTACATGCAGCAGGTGTTACATTTTATATCATTCTTCCTAAAATATTCCTCCATTTTCCCAGACAAAATAGTCCCCATTATGACAATAGCGGTCAATCGAAAACTATAAAATGATCTCGTTAATACTTGTTACAGTTGATGATGAATTACATACACATGAATATTAAAGTATTTGAATATGAATCTACAGTCACTTAATAACATTATTATCCATAGGTCCAGCATAATCTATATGAAGTCTAGATCTGGGTTTACCAGTGCATGGCCAGGAAAGTACTGGAGTTGGAGGTTTCTGGAAATTCTTAACAGATATTACAATTTAGTTATTTCAGTAATATCCTAGTTTATTTTGGGTCACCAAACCCAACTTCTAGCTTCTGCTTGAATAGCATTTATACTATTATACTATGGCTGGCCTACTTGCAGCTCTTCCAAAAGCTTACATCTTAATTGCACAGGACCGGCAACTTTCTATGTACAGTTATTAAATATCCTGAGGAACACTAAGGTTAGACTTAACTGAGCCATAATCATAATAGTAAATTAGCCTTCCAATCATACTTTACAAAAGTTCATTACCTTTAACCTTGCATCTCGAATAGTCGCCTGCCTAATTGTTTGAAATTAAATATCCTCATATGACATGGATTCCACCAAAATAATTTATTCAACTGGAATTCTAGAATTCAACTCTTCAATAACGGACAATCTGTTCAGAACATTAACACTTAAATTTTCTTTTACCCATTTATACGCTAAATTGTAATCAAACAGAGACAGAAATGAGGTCGACGTTGAATTCTAGCAATGGCACTATTCAGAACTTGTTTACCTCTATTAAACAACCGTAGTATGGGTTTATGGTCAGTTCTAGCATGAAATTTCCTAACCAGAATAAAATACCAAAGCTTTTTTTGGACGGAGCCCTGCACCCTCCAGAAAATTTTCTGGGGGGCAGCAACATGCTAGCAGGCTTCCCCTATAACAAGCCTTAACTTAAGAGGGCAGATGGATACTAATTCCATCTGGTAACACAACTGGGCCACCCTGGGATACATCGGTCCAATCACTAATAAATCACTGGCTACCACAGACAATTCATTGTCATCACTGACGAGGCCATACTTGTTCGCACTGAAACAAGTCTTGCGTTCAGGACTACCCTTGCTGGTCACTCAGGGTGAATTGCCTCTTGTCGTCCAAGGTACCCCTACATCATTTCTGAGGTGTCAGAAGTGATGTAGGGGTACATAAACTACACAGGTGTCAGTAAGAGCACAGCCTTACACTGGGGAACAGAAAATGGTGGGCGCAGGTGCCTCAACAGATGGCGTTGACATCATAATACCAGCAAAATTAAGAGCATGGACTCTTCTTAGCCTCCTCGGTTTCATGATAATCCAAATTGACCCTGAACGTGCTCGGCCAAATTCCAGCGAGATGTTAGAAGCATCAAATAGTTCCATCTTTTCTTGAAATCGAGCCATGGTGAATGAGTAAGAGGAAACAATTAATGTTGCCTATATCCCTTCATGTAAATGCCACATAATCTTGAGGCATTTACTTTTTGTACATCTCCTTGAATCTTTTCTTCCCTGATTCAATTCAATCCTTTTCACCATCATTATAGTTTGGCTGGAAAAAGAAACAAATTATTTTCTGTTTTAGACAAAAAGCCACACCACTATGAACTTCAGGTATAAGCATCAGATAAACTAAAATAACGAAGCTGTAACATATGAACCTAGCATAAATAATAATAATAACAATAATACACATCACACGCAATCCTAACAGGTTACCATAGTGTATTTTGAGAGATTATATATTATAGTTAGATTAAAGCTTTACTGAAGGTTTTGTGAACTCTTAACTTTTTCTTTCTGCAGGGGCTCCATGACCAGCCTACAGTCATGCCAAAGTGGTTTCTCATCTCTCTCTTCCAATACCAACAAGTCTGCAACTTCCTCTTGTCCATCTCGCTGACCCTGAGTTAAACTGGTTATGATGCATCATATTAATCTTTATCAAGATCTCTCTTAGCTGCATTTTTTCCCACCATATTACATTACTGGTTGCTAGCAGTTTCAGATGACATTGTCCCCCAAAAATACAGTCAGAGTGCAGTACATTCGGACATAGTAATGGGATGCTCACTTTGTTATATCAAGCTCTGGATTTTCAAGTCTTGCTTATTAAGCTGCCTCAAAGTGGAATAAGACATAAGAAATATCTGTTTCAGCTAAGAGTTTCATTGTGTAGCATTTTAGAACAATCAGAATAGTATGGGAAGCTTTCTGAATTTATATTAGTACTGTAAAAGAATCTGTTGTAATTTTTTAAAAGCTTTAATGATTTAATTGACTAAAAGCAGACTAAAAGCTACAGTATTTTTAAGTGATATGTTCAGGGATCCAAGTAAAAAAATCTTAGAAACATGCATCTTTTTATCTTTTAGATACACATACAAGATTCTCACAGTTATTGAGATAGTATGATAAAAAAATAATTGCTTGAATAAAAGCTGTATGATATGCAAGTGATAACTGAGAAACAATCACTCAAAAGATTGTTAAAGCATATTAAAACAATTGGAATTGCCAAAAAGGAATACTCTACTGCAAACTTTATTGGTGATAATGAAACAAATAGCATATATGTAGGATCCTCTATGCAGGCTGTTGAAATAATTGGTTAGTGAGCATTATTAGCCCCTTTCCATAATATGAACGTCTTGCTTTTCATTTACTATTTACACGAGGCCCAATAACTCCTATCCTTGTGATTTATGGGCAGGGTACAAAATGTCAGCTACTGTCTTTGGAGTGTCCATAGTGTAACTTAATCTTAGTGTGTGCAACAACATATCTTTTGTGCAAGACTTTTTTTCACCTGAATCATAAAACTTGTATTATGTTACCAAGTTTACAAAGCTCATATATAATACATATATATCTATATATATACTGATATTACATTAATTTCGTAATCATATATGAAAATCACTATTTTTTAAAATATGAAGGAAAAATCCCTCCGGAATACCTCTTGGCATATACCTCGGTAATGAGCTTTTTTGTACATTTAAATGTACAAGCATAATTTCCTTATACAGTATAGTTTAAAGGAAATGTGTGAGGATTGATCTGTTAGCTTTTCAGCAAAAATTTTTGGTTCATATACAGTAATCAGGATTAAAACTTCTCAATAATATATAATATTTGCTCAATTTCATGGTACAATAAAATTATTATGAATTCATCATAGATGTAAGAGAGGGATCAGATTGTGTAGGTAACAAAGAGGCAGATCCTGTAGACGAGAGGAAGACGGTCAAGCACTGTTTAATCTTTAGATACTTGGTTTTGCACTTTGCATTTGTCCCTTAATTACAAAATTACAAAAAGGCAATCACTATAAGAGGAAAAAATATTTAAGGATCAAGGTTAGCTACACTACTACTCTTTGAATGACTAATAGTGTTAAAATTATTTGTGAAGTGTCTTATAAGCATGATCCTTGAAAATTCTAGAAGTATCTGCTAACGAGTCATTGAAATTTAGTCAAGGTTTTTGGAGGATGAGCCTCTGTGCGTCTTCCATAAAGATAACACGACTCGTGCCACCAACACGGCTAGTCCTCACACAACTAATGTATACAGGTAATTAATGTTATGTAATGCTATATCAAAGAATTTCCATATATTTTGAAACATTGTTGGTCATAGTATAGAGCATCACATAGATGGAGTATTTTTGCTTGTGTGCAAATACTTAAGAATACCCAGTTATGTCAGTATGCATGTGTGTGTATAGACATATATGACTGAGAGTTGGTGCAGTGCACCAAAGTCCATTTTGTAGAATAATTATTTCCCAGTGAAACATCCTAGAGTGTATGAAGTATACAAATGTCTTTGCATGTTACCTTGCAGGCAGCACCCTACAGCAAACGTCCAGTTGTACTTGATTTTCTGACTGTAAAGGTTCAGAAATGTAAAACTGGACAGTATCTTGTAAAGACAAAAGAAACCTGCAGTATATCTCCCTATCTAGCTATTGTCAGACTGAACATCTTGTCTAGTCTGACTGTAATTTGATAGTAATTTTATTAATATATATATATTGTTGATATTGCTGATATAAGTAATGTATGATACATAATGTGTAGCCCATTTGTATGGAAATTATATAAAATAGTATAATTTACTTTGCTTCTTAAATTGCTACCAAATGATCAATTACTCGTAATCATTTTACTCTTTGCATAGTCATTATAAATGCCAAAATTTTAAATAAAACGGATTATTTATATTTTAATACATGTTTTTATGGATACTGTAGCATTTTTTAATTGTGGCATTCCTATTAGCACAACGTCCTTGAAATGAGCACTCTATTGCCAGGACTGTGAACCTTTGGTGTACCAATGAAACAAGCTGCAGATGTAATATATTTCTAGTTCATTGAACATAACAGTATGTGAACCCCTCCACTTCTAAAAAATGTTTGTGTAATGTATGAGTGGTCTTTTAGCTGACATGTGGCTGCTGTTTTCATCTGCAAAATACTTGTAAACTCTAACATTAGCAAGAATATTTATGATAAAGTTACTAGCAATCGGAGGAGATCAGTAGTTTCCTTTAATACGGCTGCTTCTGTTATAATATTTACCAATGTAAAAGCCTGCTGTAGTTTGTTACATTATAACACTTACATGTCTTTGATTTAGTTAGGTGAAAAGAGAAGCCTTTGTTAGTCATGTTTCCACATCACCCAAGTTTTTCTTTCTGCTTGGCATATAATTCCTAGTTATGTAATTTTGTGTTTGTCTGCAGTGTGTATATATTATGTACATACATATATATTTTTCAAGTTAATGAACAAAAGATGGATCTGCCTTGTTATTCTCAAGTGTTGCACCAATACTGAGAAGATTGGTGCAAATATAGTAGATAATTTGTTTATCAATCTTACTAGGGAAAGTTGAATCCATTAGGGTTTTAAATCTGTATTTATGATAATTTGGTGAATCTCGGTACCAGTGTTCATTATTACAGAACTAGTAGTAGTTTTACAAAAAAAATTAAATCAAACTGTACATTACATGACATTCATCCATTACGATACTGTTCACAGTACTAATGCTTCAATGAGAGAACATTCATTGCACTTTGCTGTCTAGTCTGATGTATGAGGGTAAGATGCTTGATCTAAATAATTAATCCTTTATATTTTGACTTGAATGGCATTGCACCTATTATGTAACATATCAAGATGACTGCTCATAGTTCACTTAATTCTTGCTGTTGTTTAACAATAGTTGAGAGACGAATTACTGCCTATTATAATTGTGCAATGTTGATGAGCAATAAAAGTGTGAAATTATGTATAATAGATACATTTTAAAGTTAGAAACAGTAAACATATATATTTTTTGTTGAGTATTTGATTGCAGAAAATACCTGAATCCAGATAATGCTCTGTAGGATTTTAAATAAGATTGTTATATGCAATATTCCTGTCTTTGTGCACTACAGTACAGTATTTGCCTTTCCTTTTAATTTTGTAAAACTGTTTCAACTCGTAAGTGTGTGTCAACTATATTGAATTAAAACTTTATTATTGATGTACATCGTTGTCTAGAAATCTCCCTGGAAATGAGCAGGCGCACACGCGAAGGATCCTGGTGCAGGCGCACACGCGAAGGATCCTGGTGCAGGCGCACACGCGAAGGATCCTGGTGCAGGCGCACACGCGAAGGATCCTGGTGCAGGCGCACACGCGAAGGATCCTGGTGCAGGCGCACACGCGAAGAATCCTGGTGCAGGCGCACACGCGAAGAATCCTGGTGCAGGCGCACACGTGAAGGATCCTGGTGCAGGCGCACACGTGAAGGATCCTGGTGCAGGCGCACACGTGAAGGATCCTGGTGCAGGCGCACACGTGAAGGATCCTGGTGCAGGCGCACACGTGAAGGATCCTGGTGCAGGCGCACACGTGAAGGATCCTGGTGCAGGCGCACACGTGAAGGATCCTGGTGCAGCCGCACACGTGAAGGATCCTGGTGCAGGCGCACACGTGAAGGATCCTGGTGCAGGCGCACACGTGAAGGATCCTGGTGCAGGCGCACACGTGAAGGATCTTGGTGCAGGCGCACACGTGAAGGATCCTGGTGCAGGCGCACACGTGAAGGATCCTGGTGCAGGCGCACACGTGAAGGTTCCTGGTGCAGGCGCACACGTGAAGGATCCTGGCGCAGGCGCACACGTGAAGGATCCTGGCGCAGGCGCACACGTGAAGGATCCTGGCGCAGGCGCACACGTGAAGGATCCTGGCGCAGGCACACACGTGAAGGATCCCGGCGCAGGCACACACGTGAAGGATCCCGGTGTAGGCGCAGGTGTAGGCTAGGTCTCGGCCTGGAAATCCTGCATTGTAAAACAGCAGTTATTAAACAATGGCAGGGGCTTTATTTGCATTCTTAAATCAAATCATACATAACTTATAGGCCTATTTTTACCTAAGTGAATTAAAGTTTACTTTTTCGAGCAATTACAATGTTTCGACGACTGTCCTAGAGTACAAATTTTTTGGTATACGACATCAAATTCATCATAAAATTTGAATTGGTGTACAGCAGTTTACTTGAGACATCTGATCGTACGCGTATGGGTCGAACGAGCACGTGGTGCTGGGGGGCACAGGGTGATGCGTACTCGGTTTGTTTACAGGTCGATCCCGCGTAGTGACGACCATGGCCGCGCTTAAATTCTTTGTAAAGAATTTCACTGTTTACCTTTTTTTTTTCTTTCATAAAAATTCTTATATATCACGCCATGGATCCCAAGAAAGTCAGTGGTAAAGTTCAGCCTAAACTTTTGTTGAAAAGGTTCGCCCAAATCAAGCAGGCCGTTGTGTTAATCTTTTTAATGACAATGTGATGTCTCGCTTCTGACAAGTTTTACAACGTTGGCAAAAACAAGTGTCACTAGACATATTTTTAGTGAGGAAAACAAGCAGTGAGCCACAAGCAGGTCCTAGTGGTATGCAGACAAAACGTAGGAAAGAATACCCCAGAGAAATCATCACTGCCTGATGTTATACTAGAAGGGGACTCCCCTTCCAAACACTTGACACCTCTCCTCACTATCTTCCGTACACCAACAAGTCCTCATTCAAGGTAAGATGACCATACTGTATTGTAGCTAGTACAAAATGCGTTGTTTGGTATAAAATGTATTTTCAAGTTAATATTTTTGGGGGGTGGGAATGGATGAATTCAATTTACATTATTTCTTAAGGAAAAATTTGTTTTGATTGCCGACACGTCTCTGGGAACAGCTTACAATTGTAAACGAAGGTACCACTGTACTCGTATTCATGTCTTATGCTGCATGTATATGACAGTTTTTTAACAATTAGAAACTTTATTGCAAGATAAATTGGTAGATATCTCGCTTGGAAACATTTCTAAAGAAAAATGAACTTGACTAAGGTCACTTTACGTTGGTTGAAAATATTAGTGATAAATGTATTTTTTTAAGATAAACATTAATCATTTTAAGTACATTATCCAGTTGAATATTTCAGTTTTCTAGTTCTTGCCATAAAACATGAAAATTCCCATTACATTAACTGGTTATTGCATTATCTGGATGTCAGAAAATAGAAAAAAAAACCTGTAAAATAACAATATATTTCTTGTTTAACAATGTACTTATCAGGGTGATAGTGTAGTGAATTAATTGCCCTTGTAATAGGACAAATTAAAAGGTATTAAAGTGTGCTTTTTTTTTTTTTTAATCCAACATTTAAAATAAAATGCAAACTAGCTTTGTTGCATTTACCTATTTTTTTTTTGTCAATATATATCTACCTGTACATAATATTACAAAATCAAACACAGACATCCAAGTGAGTACAGTAATCATAAAAAGGCACCTAGCGCACCTAGCTGAGAATGTGCAGATGGCATCGCTAAGGTCATCTGCACTTATCCTGTTTCTTGAAGATGGATTCTTCATTCAGATTTCTGCCCATTCATTGTGCAATCTGCAACTGTTGGCAGGGTCACTGGTCTGGCATTACAGGTAAAAAATTGTGACTACTTAAAGGGACCCATCTCCTTGACCTTTCTCCTACTACCATAATAGATGATGGAAAACTGCTCTGGCTCAGTTGCATATCATGAAAACCTAATTGAATACCATCCTGCCCTTTACAGTCTAAACTGCATTGTTACACTTAGTCATACCTCTTGTAGAACATCACGATTTTTCTGGATCTTTGTATTGCTTACCTAATGTCCCTCGGTCATTTATGCCATGATAGGTAAACCTTGGTGAATTCCATACCTTTGATATCACTTGCCTCATGTCCTTTTTGTTCTTGCCTTTGCAGCTAAAATTATATTTAGTGCCTTTAAATACAGTATCTCGCAACACTAACACATTCTCCACCACATCTCGAGTCATTGAGGCTACCAGCTATTGCAGAGATGTCACCTCCCTAACACGAGGCTCCTCCACCAAAGAGTGTGGATTCACCAAAGAGTCCTTTATCTGCAGTGTTCTTACCTGGTTACATGTCAATATACTAGCTAAAAATGGTAGCAAACTGAAGTGGGAGTATGCTACAGGGCAGACACAGCAACAGCCAATGAAGTTACTGATCTGCACAATGTGATCAGTACAGCAACAAAAACCCAAACCCTCATAATGGCGGACTTTAATCACGAAACGATAGAATGGATGAATTTAACACCATACGTGGAAGAACAATTTTTCAACCTGGTACATTACTCCTGTCTTGTCCAGCATGTGACAGAACCCACCCAAGAAAGCAGCATTCTGGGGCAGTTCCCATGGCGCAGTGGTTACACATCCCGCACTTTGTGAGCAATTTGGCCCTGGGTTCAAGAATGTTTGTACCTTTGTGTATATAATCAATAAAAAAAATCTTGTGCTAACATCAGAAGAGAGGGCACAAGTAATCAAATATAGGTAGAAGAGAAGCTCACTCCTATATGCAATCACAATACTGTACTGTATTATTAGATGGATTACACTTATAGAAACCCTAGTAAAGGTCCCGGGTGATGTATTTCTAGACTACCCATGAGGAGACTATCAAGGAATGAGAGTGGAATTGCAAAACAACACCTGGAGGGAGTTAATAGAAGATCAAGACATGGAAATTTTCAAGCAACGTCATTACTGAACACGCTAAAAAAAAAAAAAGTGCCAAGAAAGAGAGAAAAGAATGAGAAACAGATTTATGAGAAGCATTAAAAAGATATCTAAACAAAATCTCTGGGGCTAGTATCAATCCACAAACATAAATTATCAGTTACACAGTACAGAAAGGGGCCTTAAATTTAGCACCAGTAGTCACTACTGAATTACCCCGGTCACCACTGTATTTACCTCATTATTATTTTTCTATCTTTCACATGTCATACTTTGCTACCTCTTCTGTACATACAATAATTTTGTCTAATTCAAGTAATACTATACTGATAACATAAGAATGAAGGTAACTGCAGAAGGCCTATTGGCCCATACGAGGCAGCTCCTTCATAAATATACTGTACAACTAAGAGATATGTGGATTAAGCAAAAGATGCACCTGAATGGATTAATAAATTATTTGAATAAAATAGATTAGTCACTAATGAAAAGGAGACAATTTAAAATATAAATGACTGATATACCTGAGATTTAAAGGCAGTTATGGAGGTAGGTGTCGAGCCTGGGGGTGTTGCAGGTGCCCGGGTAAGGGATGCGGTAGGTGAGGTTGTAAATAAGGTGGTCCAAGTGATCTGGCAGGTGGTAGAGGCGGCCTGGGGTCACATGATCCAGAACCTCCAGCTCCGGGGTCTCCCTAAACCTTAAGAAAATATGAGCATTAGTCATGACTGTGTTGTCGTACTACTGTATTCACCTAGTTGTTGTTGTGGGGGTTGAGCTCTGCTCTTTCGGCCCGCCTCTCAACTGTCAATCAACTGTAACTAACTACTACCTTCCACCCCACCCCCCCATACACACACACACACACACACACACACACCGCCAGGAAGCAGCTCCGTAACCGCTGTAATTCCCAGATACCTATTTACTGCTAGGTAACGGGGGCATTATGGGTGAAAGAAACTTTACCTTTTTGTGTGGAACTCTGTCGAAAGCCTTTTTTAAGTCCAGATAGATGCAGTCAACCCAACCATCTCTTTCCTGTAAAATCTCTGTGGCTCGATCATAGAGGACTGAGTAAATTCGATACACAGGATCTTCTAGATCGAAAACCATATTGTCTAAAGGAGAATCGATAGTACGTTAGAGGGTCTGATCTATAGACCGTCTGGACTCCGGCGGTTGTCCCCACAACCTGGCCATGACTTCCTTCCATGACTTGTGTGTTTGTGTTTGTAATTACCTAAATGTAGTTACAGGATGAGAGCTATGCTCGAGGTGTTCCATCTTCCCAGCACTCTGTCATGTAACATTTAGAAACTACTGTAGTTCTTACAGTTTTGGTCTCCACCACCGTCTCATTTAATTTAATTCCAACCGTCTACCACTCTGTTTGCAAAAGTTAACTTTCTAATGTTCTTTTGGCAGCTTTGTTTAGTTAGCTTAAATCTATGATCTCTTGTTCTTGATGTTCTAGGTTTCAAAAATTCTTAATTATCAATCTTGTTGATTCCCTTTACTATTTTGTATGTAGTTATTATATTACCTCTTTCTTCTATCTTCTAGGTTTGGTATATTTGACGCCTCTCACCTCTTCTCACAGCTCTTTCATTTCAGTTCCAGAAGTCATTTTATTGCATGTCTTTGCACCTTTTCCAGTTTGTTTGTTCTTCTTGAGATTTGGGCACCATATTACAGCTGTGTATTCCAACATTGTCCTCACAAAGATCATGAACAATTTCTTTAATATTTTGCCATCCATGTATTTAAAAACAATTCTGAAACTGGAAAGCCTAGCATAGGCTCCTTGAACAATGGTCTTGATATGGTCCTTGGGTGTCAGTTTTTCTGTCTAAGACCATCCATCACCAGAGGGGCCTGACAGCTGAGTGGACAGTGCTTCGGATTCGTAGTCCTGAGGTTCGTTCTGTGTAACACAGTGACTTCCCTGATTGTTCTGTGTGTGGCCGCTTAACAAGACTGTGTATACAATGCATGAAGGACATTCTATACATGTAATAACCAAACTCGGTTAACATTTACAAGTGGGTATATAGCAGTACTGAGATGCTCAGATTGCTGCTCTGAGCCAATGTGAACTTTTACAGGAATAATGCAAATGCTACTTAAGATTATAGAGTAATATATAAAACTTTATTCATATTAAAGAATTTAAACTATATTCTGTCCAGTTGTTTCAGGCTAAGCAGCATTATGTAAAAAGTCAACTAGAAATAAAAGTTGAATCACTATACTCACTTTATCTGGTAAAGACGATCATAGTCGTGAGAGAAGAAAGATGCCTCCAGTTTGTGAAGAAAGTCAAGGAAGAGAAAGTGGAAGACTTCCTGCCCGACCTGGTCATCTTCCGAGTCGGGTAGCGTTTCGGCGCCATCGTGTCTCGGTTCCTCATACTGTTCCTTCTCAGCTCTGTTGGATTGGAGCTTCTTGGATATCATCTCTACTTTCTCATTCACTTTCAGTTTTACTTGTCTAGCTTCGATTCCTGCTTTTGAAATTATTTTCCTTCCATCAATATTTGTCTCTGAATTATCATGTGCTTCATTTGTTTTTTCAATTCTATCTATACATGTCTTGATCGCCCCATCTTGGGGCATAACCTGTGAATGTGGAAAGTGGGTGCAGGTATCAGGGTCTCTGTATTCCGTGATGTTCCCCAAGCATTTTTGGTGTATAGGTGCAGGAAGAGACCTTCGCGCGTCCGCCAAACCTTTCTCACCTACGTGAGAGAGGTTCTTTCTCACCTCTTCACCTCCTTTGTCCGGGGAACTTGACATCAAAAGTGAGGCTCTCTCGAAGTTTTGTCCTGCTTCTACCTTGGAAGAAAAGTTCTTTGTGTCATTTTTTACCTTCTTGTTTACATTCTGAACAAAAATATTGTCGAACTTCATGTGACCAACTCTGTCATCTCCAGCAGTAGTGATGGCAGCCATCTGTGAAGCTGTGTTCTCTGTTAGCATGTTATAATCCAATGATTGTTGTGGCTTGGTGTGGGTACCGTGGCCCAGGGTGGAGGCGTGGAGAACCTGGAGTTTTCTGGCTTGTTTGGAGGCCACGAGGAGGGTGACAGTAGCTGGGTCGAGGAGCCTCCTAGCCAACCACACCGTCCCATCTCTTAGCTTGTCTAAGTCCAGTGGGTCGTACAAGTCCAGGATCTGCGGAGGTCAAGGCAATCGTTACATTTTTATGAAGGTTTCTACTATCATTACCTGTAGAAAAGTTATTGACACATACAGGTTTATGAGTAACTGCTTTAGTTATATTATAGAGGTGTGAATGTCTGATGATGATTTCAGTTCCAAGAATGGCAGACTAGGGCGTACTTGGTGCCTCCACAACCCTAAAGTGGGATTGAAATTAGAGCCGTGCATCACCCACTATGCACCTAGCCAGCCAGCCTCAACCCAGTTTTGCCAACCAACAAACCTCTGAATTGTTAACCAAACCACACACTAGAAATTGAAGAGATGACAATGTTTTGGTCCTTCTTGGACCATTATAAAGTCGATGAGGAAACAAGGGCAATAAATAGGCGAGAGAGGGGTGAGGAGATGGAAACCTTGGAGAAAGATAAGAGCAAGGCAAAAGGTACAGAAGGTAAGGTGTAATAATAGGAATAAGAAAGGGATCGTAAGAGAAAAAAAAGAAAGATAAAAGGAATGGTAGGCTTATGTTAGGTCACATTTATTAGAAAGTTTAGAATATTTGAGTATATACTGTGAGGGAAAAGTCAACAGCAACAAAGCCAGGACTCGGGTTCATGTTGGGTATATTGTACTATCAGAGCAGATTCGACAAGACGACGTCTGTGTAGAGTAGAGGCAGGAAAGATTGTTTTGGAGGAAAACCAATCAATAGGATGATTAAATCCCTAACATGACAGAAGAGAGTATTGTTTGTGTCTGCAGACTTAACACTTCTTTTGTGTTCCTTCAGTCTGTCCATTAAGTGTGTGGCCAGTTTCACCAAAGTATTGGAGAAGACAAGACGAACAGGAAATAGAGTAGACACCAGCAGCATTAGAAGCAGGAGCAGCAGTGTGAACTAGATTGCTACGAAGAGTGTTGGTCTGTCGAAAGGCGAGCTTTATGTCAAGAGGACAAAAGGTATTAGTGAAAGTTTTGAGTTCAGGTGTGAAGGGAGACAGAGCACAGTGCTACTAGTGTTGGAACCAAGTTAAGGATGAAAGAAATTTTGTTTAGATTGATGTTACGGTCACTTAGGACTAGTAACCGGGTTCTTGATGATGTTACCTCTTAGTGTATCCGACTCCAAGTCGGTAGTATGCTTTCAAGAACCAGGCCATTGCTCTTCATGCCTCTCTGAGGGAGCCAGGTTCTGACTCATGGTCCCCGGTAGGCCTAGAACTCCATTCACACTGACTGATGCCAAAGTCTAATGATATACATATCAATCTGGATGGCTCCGGGGAGCCGACGGGGCTTCCCCCTGACAATTGTCCAAACTATGCCTTATTCAGAAGTAAAACCAAAAACCACCTAATTTCATCCTTATAGTTTCCTACCATGTGTTTCAAACTCACACTGTATCTCGTACTACCCACTTCCCCAATATTAGTACTTAAGACGTATATCTTCACCAGAGTAATCATCCCCGTCAATTTATTTTGTATTTATTGTGTTAAACTCAAATTTTACTACAATGTATTTCATAAGAAACTACAGGTAGTCTGTTAGCGTTTCGGGCAGGTCCTTACTCTAAGCATGTTAGTGGCTTTGTAAGAATTTAAGTACACCATTGGGTTTGTGAGAGTACATAACAATGTACCTTCTTGTATATAAATAAATAAACCAGCACCCAGTCCAGGAAGCAAGCTAACCAGCCAGCCAGACACCAAGCCAGTTGAGCGAGAAACCACCCACCTGATAGTTGGTCCTCTCGTGGAGAAGGTTGGTGAGAGCCGCCACCTGCTCCTGGGCATCTCTGGCGTACACCATCAGCACCTTCCTCTGCTCAGCGCCCGACAGGAGTGCATCCCTCAGGCCTACTGTCTCTCTCCCACCGTCGCCCAGACAATTCTGTTTATGCTCGGAATGCTTGAGCACCTGCACCTCCTGTTGCATCTCCTCCAGGCAGCCTGGCTTTTTACCGTTTGAATTCCGTCTGACAACTGAGGAAAGAAACTGAGCATTTAATATGTTCAGTTTATGGAAATTTGTATCAGTTAATTACAAACCATGCAGCTCCTCCCTATTCGTCAGTCTCTCTCCCTTGCTGTCAGTCCCTCCCAAGCCTCGCCATCGGTCCCTCCCGAGCCTCGCCGTTGGTCCCTCCCGAGCCTCGCTATCGGTCCCTCTCCCTCGCTCCCAAGAATGTCACGCAGGCAAGACTGCCATGCATGTACACAAATATTGTGCCCCAAACAAGATGTTAACTTACTGGTGCTCTGAGCAAATCTGCAGGTATTGTAGAGATGGTAGCAGACGAGGAGGGTGGAGACCAGAGTGAACACCGCCACCACCACCACCACCCACACCGCCACCTCCCTCTGCTCCACCTGCATCGCCATCAACACGTCCATGGCAAACGATTATTGTAATGGGATAGAGGTAGGTGGATAATGATAGTGTTAAGGAAACATAAGCATTTACGTACTGTACAACTTGTATTTAATATTATCGTGAATCGTCAACCATTGCATCACTCATACCACCGTCACTTGCCACCCTAATATCACTCACTGGCTTGTCCAAGGTTTTGTACTGAAGGTCTGGGAAAGTCACTCCGAAGTTGAAAGGTTCTTCACAGGGGTTGTAGGGCGTCACCTGGGAAAGAGACGCGGCCTCTTAAACTAAGGTATCCAAACTGTGTTCAAGAGATCAGAGATTTTCAATTATGGAAGTTTGTAAGAATGAATTTGGGTGTTTAAAGGCTGATCAGTGTATTTTTGAGAGATTGATGGAGAATCTACACAAAAACTTGGAGTTTTTAAAACGGGAAAGCTTGAAAAGAAATGCCATTACTAGTACAGTACTGTGCTCTGAGGAAACCTTGCAAGGCCATCAAGGTTGCAAGGCCACCTGAAAACCTGGTCTTGGATACACACTCTGGTGCGGTAGACACAGGTGGTGTTGAGGTTGTGCCAGTGGGCAGTGAAGGTGGTGGTGTTGTCGTGGTTCACACCCTCCAGGATCACCGGCTTAGACAACGTACACTCCTGCTTCTGCAGGGGTACCTTGCCGCCCTTGGCAGCTCCGCCAGCAGTGCTCTGTGAAGACATTACCTCAGGTGAGGGTGACAGGATGAGAGAAACTGAATATATAACTTAGGATATAAATGTGGACATAAAGGGAGGAATTAATAATGGTGTGTATAGTGCAGAATGTTATGATGTCTGTTGTTGTCGTCCCTTGTAATATAGTTTGGAGTTGTGTAGAAGAGTGTGTTTAGTGTAATGGTGACTGATACAATCTAACTTAGAGAAGTTTAGTCTGACAACCTGGTGAGGTCTGTACACCCATCCTCAAGCTATAATAGTACAAGCTGCTGCAGATCCCAGAGATTCATTTATCAATAGTAATGTAATGAGTAGTGAGAAATGGTATCCTCTGAATATACATTAATATATATTATAATTTTGTATATATGTAGTTAGTCTGGTGTGGTCTGGTGCTCTTCGGTATATTGTACTGCAGTCTGGTGTGGTCTGGTGCTCTTCGGTATATTGTACTGCAGTCTGGTGTGGTCTGGTGCTCTTCGGCATATTGTACTGCAGTCTGGTTCTTTTTGGGGTATTGTAATGCAGTCTGGTGTTGTCTGGTGCTCTTTGGCACATTGTAATGGAGTCTGGTGCTCTTTGGCGTACAATATAATGCAGCGCAGTGTAGTTTGTGGTAGGCTGATGGTGTGTAAGGTGGTGTGGTGGGGTCTGACCTGAGTGTGTGAGGGTGTGAGATTCATGAGGTACTTGTATACTCCTGTCTGCTTGATCATGGTGATCTTGGAGATGTTGGTGTCGTCCTGCTGCTCCCTGCCGGAGGTAAACATCACCACACCATTAATAATACACAAAATGTTTACCAATATAACATTACACCCACACTGAAAGATATCCATAAAGCAAGTCAGTTACAAAACAAGTGTTCTCTCTCACACAGGCTCGCATGCATATACACAACTCCAGAGGTACATAAATGGAATAAATAATGTCAGTTGCATGGTCTACACTGGCAAAAGTCAGAACATCCTTCAGAAACTTGAATAAAGTGCCTTTTAGATCACTGTATACTGACTATGTGAGGCCAGTCTAAAGTATGCCGCCCTATGTTGGAGCCCCCATCTAAAAAAAAAAACATAAGGAAGCTTGAAAAGTGCAGAAGTTTGCAACGAGACTTGTTCCAGAGTTGTAAGGGATGAGGTACGAAGAGAGACTGAAGGAGCTAAACCTGACGACGTTAGAAAGGAGGATGGAGAGGGGGGACATGATACAGACATAAAATACTTAGAGGGATTGACTGGCGAGACATCTGGAACAAACTTACCCACTATCTTACGGATTTTCTTCCAGATCTGGGGCAGAGGCGTGTGGTCGTAATGGTCCTCTGTTCATCCAGCAGTGAATGGGTACCTGGTTGTTAAATGATTTGTATTCCAGGGAAAATTTGGATTAAGGACTTACCCGAAAAGCTATGCATACTAGTGGCTGTACAAGAATGTAAGAACTCTTGTATACTGGTATATATTAAAAAAAATGGAGACATAGGATTTCCAACTCTCACATTCAGCCGTACAGATGGCCCTACGGGCCACCGTACTTGCCTTCCAAAACAAAACAGAAGCAGCAGTCTGTCGGTGTCAGTGTTTTTTCCAGACTGACGCTCACAGCATACAGCCCGAGCACGGTCTGTATTCCCCAAGGGAATGCATTTCTGTGTGCTCCGAGACTTAGAGCTGAGGATAGCGTCTAATGTGGTGTTAAGAAAAAGGAGAATGGCTCGAGGGAGAGGCAAAGTGGAGAGGTCGGAAAGAGTAGCATGTAGAATGAATAGGTTCCAGTCAGCCTTGGCAAACTGCCACCTAGAGAAGGAGAGAGCAGGGTGAAAAGAGAAAAAGGTAACAAGGATGGGAAAACAGTCACTGTTATCGAGGTCATCAAGAACCCGCCATGTGAAATCTAAATAAAGAGAAGATGAGCAGAAAGAAAGCTGAAGACAGGAAAGGGTACGAGTGCAGGAGTCAACATGAGTGAGCTCGCCAGAATTCAGAGACAAAAGAAGAGGACAAATAGTTCAAGAAGGCGGCCACAAGTGTTTGTCAGAGCATCACCCCAGAGGGTATGCCGACAGTTGAAATTACCCAACAGGAACACAGGCTATGGTAAGGAGTCCAACAGGTGTTTAAGATCAGGAAGAGATACAGTAATGGGACATTTGGGGGGAGATAATTGGAGCAGACTGTATACCATTTACTCACAAAGATACGGGCCACAGAACACTGAATGTGCAACTGAAAAGTAGGGGAAAATATCGAATCAATCAAGCAGTAGAGTTATGGGCCCCCAGCAAAAGCTAATATATTATATAAAAATAAAATAAAGTGTAGGAGATTATATGCTGCCTAAGAACATGTCAAATTATACATGGAGCACCATAGACTAATTTTGTTGTGAAAGAAAATGTACTTGCCAGGAAATAGCTTGGATTTGGTGACTGTGGTTGAAGGTATGATAGTGAGGAAGGACAAGGTCAGCCGAGGTCGCGTTGCCACTCTTCACCCTCACACACCTGGCCTTGACTTTGGTGGGCAGGCATATCTTCCCTCCATCCTTCTGAATGCATCAGCCACAATGAATTAAAACAAAGAATATCTGACACTGATGTACTATTAGCCCATATGAGAGTTATTTATAACCAAACTCATTCATATATATGTCTTGCCTACGCATGAAACAATCCAGCGATCCTGCATATGTGTATATGTTACCCGGTAATCTGTTACATTAATCAATAATTTAACCCAAGCCAGTATTTACCTAGGTTGTTTGTTTGAATATAAATTTAGCAAATTTGTATTCATTGTTTTTTGTATATTTTTTCATATTCAGCATCTTATACTATTGTCATCCAAAAATTGTCTAATGTCTCTATCAATCCTGTGTCTAAATTTTGTATATATACTCAATGGTAAACAACAGAGGTCACATGATAAGAGCCCCGGTGCACTTCATTTGCTACAGCTTCCCATTCGGATCTGACTTGATGATACAATGTGGATCTGCTTCATTTGATATATATATATATGCGTCCAAAACTGACCTGGGAACCCCCTCAACCCTCCACAGTACCTATGTTACCTTTCAAACAAGTTTGTCGTGAAACAGTGTCAAAGGCTTTGAAAAAGTCAAGGTATATAATGAGAAATGTTTCACTGTTATCTGCTCAAAAAAATTTAAAGTAATAGGAGTAAATATTTATTTATTTATTTATGCTCGGTAGTATGGTTATAGACCGATTGCTGGTGTTGCAGTCACTTTGCCACAAGTTCTATAAGGTGCTGTTGAAATCCTCTGGGTATTATTGTCCTTAGACTGACAGTGAACAGCCCGAGAACAGTCTGAATTTCATCAGGGAGAGCACTTCAGCATGTCATGGGATGTACAGCAAGGAATAGAGATGGCAGCCTTTAATAAGGTGTTGTGAAAAAAGGAGAGCCAGATTGGACTGGTTAGGAAGAGCAGCATGGAGGGTGAAAGAATTCTAGTTCATTTTATCAAACCACCACCAAGGAAAAAGAGAGGATGGCAGAGAGTAAAAAAAAAAAAAAAGGATTACAAAGATGGGGAAAATCGATATCTTGTGCCATTGTGATTTGTGAGTGTTTAAATGGTCACTGTTATAGAGATCATCAAAAACTCTCCATATCAGGGAAAAGGAGCAGGAGCCACAAAATGTTATCAAGCTTCAGTTTACCTGCATGACAAAAATACACCACCATAACCAACCTTTCAAAATCCACTTGAATTGTGATAAATTGCTGTTTGTAAATTATGTTAATAACCACTGAACAAAGAACAATTAACTCCCAAACAAATGTTACCCACCTGGCAAACTTTTCTGTGACAGGTTTTAATTAAGGTTGAGTCACAGTTCCACACCTCCAGCTTCACCTCTGTAACATTAAGGGGTCGCAGAGAATTATCATTCTCAAATTGACTCATTTATTTCGTGAAATATTTCCTTGTTTGTCACATGTTTTAATTGTAATACTTGTGTTGCCAGCCACACCATCACCATACAACAGTGTTACCAGCCACACCACCACCACACAACAGTGTTGCCAGCCACACCACCACCACACAACAGTGTTGCCAGCCACACCACCACCACACAACAGTGTTGCCAGCCACACCATCACCACACAACAGTGTTGCCAGCCACACCATCACCATACAACAGTGTTACCAGCCACACCATCACCATACAACAGTGTTGCCAGCCACACCATCACCACACAACAGTGTTGCCAGCCACACCACCACCACACAACAGTGTTGCCAGCCACACCACCACCACACAACAGTGTTGCCAGCCGCACCACCACCACACAACAGTGTTGCCAGCCACACCATCACCACACAACAGTGTTGCCAGCCACACCATCACCATACAACAGTGTTGCCAGCCACACCATCACCACACAACAGTGTTGCCAGCCACACCATCACCATACAACAGTGTTGCCAGCCACACCATCACCACACAACAGTGTTGCCAGCCACACCATCACCACACAACAGTGTTGCCAGCCACACCATCACCACACAACAGTGTTGCCAGCCACACCATCACCACACAACAGTGTTGCCAGCCACACCATCACCACACAACAGTGTTGCCAGCCACACCATCACACAACAGTGTTGCCAGCCACACCATCACCACACAACAGTGTTGCCAGCCACACCATCACCATACAACAGTGTTGCCAGCCACACCATCACCATACAACAGTGTTGCCAGCCACACCATCACCATACAACAGTGTTGCCAGCCACACCATCACCATACAACAGTGTTGCCAGCCACACCATCACCATACAAGTGTTGCCAGCCACACCATCACCATACAAGTGTTGCCAGCCACACCATCACCATACAACAGTGTTGCCAGCCACACCATCACCATACAACAGTGTTGCCAGCCACACCATCACCATACAACAGTGTTGCCAGCCACACCATCACCATACAACAGTGTTGCCAGCCACACCATCACCATACAACAGTGTTGCCAGCCACACCATCACCATACAACAGTGTTGCCAGCCACACCATCACCATACAACAGTGTTGCCAGCCACACCATCACCATACAACAGTGTTGCCAGCCACACCATCACCATACAACAGTGTTGCCAGCCACACCATCACCATACAACAGTGTTGCCAGCCACACCATCACCACACAACAGTGTTGCCAGCCACACCATCACCACACAACAGTGTTGCCAGCCACACCATCACCACACAACAGTGTTGCCAGCCACACCATCACACAACAGTGTTGCCAGCCACACCATCACCACACAACAGTGTTGCCAGCCACACCATCACCATACAACAGTGTTGCCAGCCACACCATCACCATACAAGTGTTGCCAGCCACACCATCACCATACAAGTGTTGCCAGCCACACCATCACCATACAACAGTGTTGCCAGCCACACCATCACCATACAACAGTGTTGCCAGCCACACCATCACCATACAACAGTGTTGCCAGCCACACCATCACCATACAACAGTGTTGCCAGCCACACCATCACCATACAACAGTGTTGCCAGCCACACCATCACCATACAACAGTGTTGCCAGCCACACCATCACCATACAACAGTGTTGCCAGCCACACCATCACCATACAACAGTGTTGCCAGCCACACCATCACCACACAACAGTGTTGCCAGCCACACCATCACCACACAACAGTGTTGCCAGCCACACCATCACCACACAACAGTGTTGCCAGCCACACCATCACCACACAACAGTGTTGCCAGCCACACCATCACCACACAACAGTGTTGCCAGCCACACCATCACCACACAACAGTGTTGCCAGCCACACCATCACCACACAACAGTGTTGCCAGCCACACCATCACCACACAACAGTGTTGCCAGCCACACCATCACCATACAACAGTGTTGCCAGCCACACCATCACCATACAACAGTGTTGCCAGCCACACCATCACCATACAACAGTGTTGCCAGCCACACCATCACCATACAAGTGTTGCCAGCCACACCATCACCATACAACAGTGTTGCCAGCCACACCATCACCATACAACAGTGTTGCCAGCCACACCATCACCATACAACAGTGTTGCCAGCCACACCATCACCATACAACAGTGTTGCCAGCCACACCATCACCATACAACAGTGTTGCCAGCCACACCATCACCATACAACAGTGTTGCCAGCCACACCATCACCATACAACAGTGTTGCCAGCCACACCATCACCATACAACAGTGTTGCCAGCCACACCACCACCATACAGTGTTGCCAGCCACACCATCACCATACAACAGTGTTGCCAGCCACACCATCCCCATACAACAGTGTTGCCAGCCACACCATCCCCATACAACAGTGTTGCCAGCCACACCATCCCCATACAACAGTGTTGCCAGCCACACCATCCCCATACAACAGTGTTGCCAGCCACACCATCCCCATACAACAGTGTTGCCAGCCACACCATCCCCATACAACAGTGTTGCCAGCCACACCATCCCCATACAACAGTGTTGCCAGCGACACCATCACCACACAACAGTGTTGCCAGCCACACCATCACCATACAACAGTGTTGCCAGCCACACCATCACCACACAACAGTGTTGCCAGCCACACCATCACCACACAACAGTGTTGCCAGCCACACCATCACCACACAACAGTGTTGCCAGCCACACCATCACCACACAACAGTGTTGCCAGCCACACCATCACCACACAACAGTGGTGCCAGCCACACCATCACCACACAACAGTGTTGCCATCCACACCATCACCACACAACAGTGTTGCCAGCCACACCATCACCACACAACAGTGTTGCCAGCCACACCACCACCACACAACAGTGTTGCCAGCCACACCATCACCACACAACAGTGTTGCCAGCCACACCATCACCACACAACAGTGTTGCCAGCCACACCATCACCACACAACAGTGTTGCCAGCCACACCATCACCACACAACAGTGTTGCCAGCCACACCATCACCACACAACAGTGTTGCCAGCCACACCATCACCACACAACAGTGTTGCCAGCCACACCATCACCACACAACAGTGTTGCCAGCCACACCATCACCACACAACAGTGTTGCCAGCCACACCATCACCACACAACAGTGTTGCCAGCCACACCATCACCACACAACAGTGTTGCCAGCCACACCATCACCACACAACAGTGTTGCCAGCCACACCATCACCACACAACAGTGTTGCCAGCCACACCATCACCACACAACAGTGTTGCCAGCCACACCATCACCACACAACAGTGTTGCCAGCCACACCATCACCACACAACAGTGTTGCCAGCCACACCATCACCACACAACAGTGTTGCCAGCCACACCATCACCACACAACAGTGTTGCCAGCCACACCATCACCACACAACAGTGTTGCCAGCCACACCATCACCACACAACAGTGTTGCCAGCCACACCATCACCACACAACAGTGTTGCCAGCCACACCATCACCACACAACAGTGTTGCCAGCCACACCATCACCACACAACAGTGTTGCCAGCCACACCATCACCACACAACAGTGTTGCCAGCCACACCATCACCACACAACAGTGTTGCCAGCCACACCATCACCACACAACAGTGTTGCCAGCCACACCATCACCACACAACAGTGTTGCCAGCCACACCATCACCACACAACAGTGTTGCCAGCCACACCATCACCACACAACAGTGTTGCCAGCCACACCATCACCACACAACAGTGTTGCCAGCCACACCATCACCACACAACAGTGTTGCCAGCCACACCATCACCACACAACAGTGTTGCCAGCCACACCATCACCACACAACAGTGTTGCCAGCCACACCATCACCACACAACAGTGTTGCCAGCCACACCATCACCACACAACAGTGTTGCCAGCCACACCATCACCATACAACAGTGTTGCCAGCCACACCATCACCACACAACAGTGTTACCAGCCACACCATCACCACACAACAGTGTTGCCAGCCACACCATCACCACACAACAGTGTTGCCAGCCACACCATCACCACACAACAGTGTTGCCAGCCACACCACCATACAACAGTGTTACCAGCCACACCATCACCATACAACAGTGTTGCCAGCCACACCATCACCATACAACAGTGTTGCCAGTCACACCATCACCATACAACAGTGTTGCCAGCCACACCATCACCATACAACAGTGTTGCCAGCCACACCATCACCATACAACAGTGTTGCCAGCCACACCATCACCATACAACAGTGTTGCCAGCCACACCATCACCATACAACAGTGTTGCCAGCCACACCATCACCATACAACAGTGTTGCCAGCCACACCATCACCACACAACAGTGTTGCCAGCCACACCATCACCACACAACAGTGTTGCCAGCCACACCATCACCACACAACAGTGTTGCCAGCCACACCATCACCACACAACTGTGTTGCCAGCCACACCATCACCACAAAACAGTGTTGCCAGCCACACCATCACCACACAACAGTGTTGCCAGCCACACCATCACCATACAACAGTGTTGCCAGCCACACCATCACCATACAACAGTGTTGCCAGCCACACCATCACCATACAACAGTGTTGCCAGCCACACCATCACCATACAAGTGTTGCCAGCCACACCACCACCACACAACAGTGTTGCCAGCCACACCACCACCACACAACAGTGTTGCCAGCCACACCATCACCACACAACAGTGTTGCCAGCCACACCATCACCACACAACAGTGTTGCCAGCCACACCATCACCACCATACAGTGTTGCCAGCCACACCATCACCACCATACAGTGTTGCCAGCCACACCATCACCACCATACAGTGTTGCCAGCCACACCATCACCACCATACAGTGTTGCCAGCCACACCATCACCACACAACAGTGTTGCCAGCCACACCATCACCACACAACAGTTACCAGCCACACCATCACCACACAACAGTGTTACCAGCCACACCATCACCACACAACAGTGTTACCAGCCACACCATCACCACAGTGCTGATGACTAACCTGCCAGAGGGTCAGTACAGGCAGCAGCCCGCACGGTGAGCACCGGGTAGCCAGGCAGGGCGGCCTCCACCTCCAGGTCCCTCACACTCACGTCCACGTAAACATAACCATCGAAGTAGTCGTCAGTGTCCCCGTCCTCCTGGCATGCCACTTCTGTCAACAAGAATGGTGCTGGACAGTCCTCACGGCCGCGTGACAGGTCCTCACGGCCGCGTGACGGGTCCTCACGGCCGCGTGACGGGTCCTCACGGCCGCGTGACGGGTCCTCACGGCCGCGTGACGGGTCCTCACGGCCGCGTGACGAGTCCTCACGGCCGCGTGACGGGTCCTCACGGCCGCGTGACGGGTCCTCACGGCCGCGTGACGGGTCCTCACGGCCGCGTGACGGGTCCTCACGGCCGCGTGACGGGTCCTCACGGCCGCGTGACGGGTCCTCACGGCCGCGTGACGGGTCCTCACGGCCGCGTGACGGGTCCTCACGGCCGCGTGACGGGTCCTCACGGCCGCGTGACGGGTCCTCACGGCCGCGTGACAGACACAATAACTGCAGTTACATAACGGATGCATATGAACACAAGGATAAAATAATCTTAAGTCCTTATATATTTGCAAGAAGTCCTGCTAATACAATTTTCCAACCAATATTTCACCATTTCTATATTTTGGTTAATTGACGTTATATTCGGTAACGTCCACAGATACCTGGATATACTATGCGGGCCCTCTACCTTAAAATATACCCCTCTCTCTAATGTACTTTGTACGTATATTTTTATTATTATGATTATTATTATTGTAACTTATTATTATTTATTTATGTATTTATTCATATACAAGAAGGTACATTGGGTTTATAAGAGTACAGAGCACTGAAGTGTTACATTCTTGTAAAGCCACTATAGCACGCGTAGCGTTTCCGGCAGAATTATTATTATTATTATTATTATGAACACTGACACTTACTTTAGGGGTAGGGGGGGGAGGGAGGTGATGGAAACAAAGATAATAAAGAATGTTGCATAATGAGTCGTGTGCAGGAGACTGTAGCCACAGTTACAGGCCCCCACACCTCTACCACCTAAACTATATTAACATTTAAGTATTTCCCGCCCTCAACAGGTATTTCATAACTATATAAAAACATAATTTAACTTTCTATCACCGTTGTTACCAAGGATGGCCTGACGTACTATCACAACAGCAGCCCACTAACACTGAACAGCTTCTAACAATGTTCTTTTTATTATATAACTTCAGTAAAAAGTATCCTGGTCGGGGGAGGATTGGACGCCAATCCCTAACAACTGTAGCCTCTGTTTACCCAACAGTAAAATAGGTACGTTAAACGATTTGGCGGGTCGTGTTCCCGAGAAAATTAGGATTAAGGACCTGCCCGAAACACTATGCGTGCTAGTGGCTGTGCAATAATATAAGAACTCTTGTATATATATAAATAAAAACTAATAAAGTAAAAGTAGGAGCAATGGAGTCCACATACCAGGAGAGAGCAGAAGGACGGCAAGTAGCGTCATTGTCATGGTGACGTCCATGGCGCCCAGCACCATCTGTTGGTCAGCGGGGATAGTTGGCGCTGTTAGTGACACTCTACGGTCCAACCCAGCCTTTAACAATTACCCTACATGGTATATCTACCATGGAGGCAATGCTGTACAAACTATGGATTGTTTGTACGCCAAAAAAAAGTTGTGTAGTGTACATTTGGAATTCCTAAGAGCATGATAAATGAGATAAAAAGTAACCACAAACTTAATCTAAGTTTTGCTTGCAGTTTGTAAACCTGTTTGCAGTTATTTGGAAAAGATGGTCGAGGTTAAGAGTTGGCAAGATGGAGAGTTGGTTCCATCGCTTCTAAGTCTTTGTCACAAACCAGACACGTTCCTCTGGTTGTATTGTTCGCTGGACCGTGTTCTTGGCTGTTGGGTTCCTGGTTATTTGTAGCAGTCTCCTTCATCCCCCCGGGCGAGCTGAGCCCTGGGCGTGCCCTGGGTGAGTGTGGAGTGGGAGAGTGGACACGGGTGGTAGCTGCACGGGCGCACTCACCACTCATGAGTATATCGTCTCTCTCCCTTTCGGGAGGAGCCTGAATGCCTGTTGTGACCTGTGCCATGTCTAGGTGACTGGAGGGTAACACATCTCTGCAACATCCACTAAGTGGGCGGGGAATGGGTGGCTGGGAGACGCCCAGGCACAGGGTGGCAAGAGGGCACGATATTTATATATATATATATATAATATAATATTATATATATATAATAAATTACTACAAGGACTGTAATCGGCGGGTTGGGGTCGGTCCTCATGGTACAACAGATTATTGTCTCAGTCGACCCGGGCAGGTTATAACTGAGGATCAGTACAAAGATGCAAGTTTAAGGATAACAGCTTAACGACACTAATTTAATGACACTAACTTAAGGACACCAGATAAACGACACCAGATAAACGACACCAGCTTAATAAACTCCAGCTTATTGATACCAGCTTAAGATTAAAAACGTCATTAACAAGATAATGTGCAAGGGTGCCTTAACACGGACTCATTTTAAGCATAGTGTGGGCGTGAGCACCGCAGGAATGCTATCTTGCTATTATCGTTACATTTCCTGTTGGTGATACAAACACGCGACGCACTCTGCCTCCATAACATCCTTCATAACACACTCCATGCTGAGGCACACTGCCTCCATTGCCAGCATCCTCCATGCTGAGGCACACTGCCTCCATTGCCAGCATCCTCCATGCTGAGGCACACTGCTTCCATTGCCAGCATCCTCCATGCTGAGGCACACTGCCTCCATTGCCAGCATCCTCCATGCTGAGGCACACTGCCTCCATTGCCAGCATCCTCCATGCTGAGGCACACTGCCTCCATTGCCAGCATCCTCCATGCTGAGGCACACTGCCTCCATTGCCAGCATCCTCCATGCTGAGGCACACTGCCTCCATTGCCAGCATCATGCTGAGGCACACTGCCTCCATTGCCAGCATCCTCCATGCTGAGGCACACTGCCTCCATAACAATATCCTCCATGTTGACAACCTCTGCCTCCGTAACAATATCCTCCATGTTGACAACCTCTGCCTCCGTAACAATATTCTCCATGTTGACAACCTCTGCCTCCGTAACAATATCCTCCATGTTGACAACCTCTGCCTCCGTAACAATATCCTCCATGTTGACAACCTCTGCCTCCGTAACAATATCCTCCTTGTTGACAACCTCTGCCTCCGTAACAATATCCGACACGAAATATCGAAAACGATATATCGACAATATCGAAAACGACAGCAGGAGCATAAGTATCTTTTTCGCACTCCATCATCACATAGTGACGGAGGGTGTGCGAATAATTTTGTTGACAGTGTTTACATTTGGTCAGGTCTACATCGGCAGATAATGAGAATTCCCAGAGATACTTGTAACCGAGTCTAAGCCGAGAGCAGTAGTAACATCTAGAAGTCTGTTGATTTTATCGGATGAACCATAGATGTGTGGCTCCTCTTGCATGATAGTTATGATGATAGATGTGTGGCTCCTCTTGCATGATAGTTATGATGATAGATGTGTGGCTCCTCTTGCATGATAGTATGATGATAGATGTGTGGCTCCTCTTGCATGATAGTATGATGATAGATGTGTGGCTCCTCTTGCATGAGAGTATGATGATAGATGTGTGGCTCCTCTTGCATGAGAGTATGATGATAGATGTGTGGCTCCTCTTGCATGAGAGTATGATGATAGATGTGTGGCTCCTCTTGCATGAGAGTATGATGATAGATGTGTGGCTCCTCTTGCATGAGAGTATGATGATAGATGTGTGGCTCCTCTTGCATGAGAGTATGATGATAGATGTGTGGCTCCTCTTGCATGATAGTATGATGATAGATGTGTGGCTCCTCTTGCATGATAGTATGATGATAGATGTGTGGCTCCTCTTGCATGATAGTATGATGATAGATGTGTGGCTCCTCTTGCATGATAGTATAATGATAGATGTGTGGCTCCTCTTGCATGATAGTATGATGATAGATGTGTGGCTCCTCTTGCATGATAGTATGATGATAGATGTGTGGCTCCTCTTGCATGATAGTATGATGATAGATGTGTGGCTCCTCTTGCATGATAGTATGATGATAGATGGAATTACTGGTGTTGATTTCACTTTGCCTCAGATCTACAAGATTTGGTCGAAGTTCTCGGTGTACTGCTGCTCTCAGACTGCTTATTGACAATCCAAGGTTATACTCAATTTCTCCTTTAAAGTCAGATTCTTTGGTTAACTTATCAGCTCTATCATGCATTCGGAGGCCAGCATGAGATGGAGACCACATGAAATGGACTCTTGCTACCATCATTAATAATTTTGTTGTACTTGTGTCTAGCTTCAGACACAAGCGTGTTACAGTTATGTCTTAATAAAGAGTTGAGAGCAATTAAGAATGATAAAGAATCACTTACAATTAATGTATCAAGTTTGGAGACTTGTACACATTTCAGTGTGTAAAAAAAAAAATTATGAAATGATAAAATATATGAAATGGTGAAATATGAAATAAAAGATATATGAAATCGTGAAATATATGAAATTAGTTAGTTCATTTATTATGCACCCCATACCCATCTTGTGGGCGGTAGTGGAAAGAGTTACAGAGGCACATAATGGGCTCAGGGACTGAACCCCACAATTCATTTAGCTAAGCAAGTTACAATCTTGAGGAGCTAGTTACAAAATTCAGTATAAGTCGTCACATCATCAATGGGTTCGAGATAAATGTACGAAATGATAAAACATATGAAATGATAAAACATATGAAATGATAAAACATATGAAAACCTTAAACTATCCAATACTGACAATTATCTAAAGTATTAACTTAGCTATGGTGTATAACAACCCGTTGTAAGGCACCAGCAGCAGCTTCAGTTATAACCCGCGGTCACTAGTTGTGAATATGGAACATCCGCCCAGGTCTGATAAGCACTTTTTGTACTATCTCTAATCTTTTTTTTGCTCTGTTACTCACAGGATGAGTATCGGGTACGCAATAAAACTATCACTGACAGGATGAGTATGGGGTGCACAATAAACTACCACTCACGGGATGAGTATGGGGTGCACAATAAACTACCACTCACAGGATGAGTATGGGGTGCACAATAAACTACCACTCACAGGATGAGTTTGGGGTGCACAATAAACTACCACTCACGGGATGAGTTTGGGGTGCACAATAAACTACCACTCACGGGATGAGTATGGGGTGCACAATAAACTACCACTCACGGGATGAGTATGGTGTGCACAATAAACTACCACTCACGGGATGAGTTTGGGGTGCACAATAAACTACCACTCACGGGATGAGTATGGTGTGCACAATAAACTACCACTCATAGGATGAGTTTGGGGTGCACAATAAACTACCACTCACGGGATGAGTATGGGGTGCACAATAAACTACCACTCACAGGATGAGTTTGGGGTGCACAATAAACTACCACTCACGGGATGAGTATGGTGTGCACAATAAACTACCACTCACGGGAAGAGTATGGGGTGCACAATAAACTACCGCTCACAGAATGAGTATGGGGTGCACAATAAACTACCGCTCACAGGATGAGTATGGTGTGCACAATAAACTACCGCTCAGTATGGGGTGCACAATAAACTACCGCTCACAAAATGAGTATGGGGTGCACAATAAACTACCGCTCACAGGATGAGTATGGGGTGCACAATAAACTACCGCTCAGTATGGGGTGCACAATAAACTACCACTCCCATGGTATGCTAAGAATTTTCTGATCTTCTGGTACTCGCCATTACGTTAGTTAGTCCAAGTTAGTTAAAGTTAGTCCAACTTTCCTAATTTTTCTGTCACGTCTCTGAACTGAGCGGCTCCTCGGGCATATGACCTCATTTTATACATTATCTTCAAGTTTCATCTGTGTTAGTGTGACAATATCTGGCATCTTAATCTGTATTATATCGCTTAGCTCCAGTATTTCTTATCCTTTTCCATACATGTTACTATATACAATTTTCAGAAATAAATTTCCTCTCCCTTTGTCCTTTAGAGGAAGAGGGAGTAAAGATATTTTGGTTTGTTTTATTTACCATTTCGCAGGCTTTCCAATCCCTATCACCTTGTAGGAAAAAAATTTCATTCCTACATTCTTCACTTCATAAATGTTTAGTTTTAGCTTCTCAATCTGTCTTCTTTTGGAAGGTCTCACATCTCGCACAGCAAATTGCAAAATTATTGTGTGACATCTCCCACACAATCATTTTGCAATTTCCTGGAATTCCTAAGCACTTGTAGAATTTGTTTCGCTGCAGTAAATATCCTTATGAGGCAATTCTTATATGCTTCATATTTTGGAGGTCAACACCACACCCACCAGGGACCACCAGGTCAACACCACACCTACCAGGGACCACCAGGTCAACACCACACCCGCCAGGGACCACCAGGTCAACACCACACCCGCCAGGGACCACCAGGTCAACACCACACCCACCAGGGACCACCAGGTCAACACCACACCCACCAGGTCAACACCACACCCACCAGGGACCACCAGGTCAACACCACACCCACCAGGGACCACCAGGTCAACACCACACCCACCAGGTCAACACCACACCTACCAGGGACCACCAGGTCAACACCACACCCGCCAGGGACCACCAGGTCAACACCACACCCGCCAGGGACCACCAGGTCAACACCACACCCACCAGGGACCACCAGGTCAACACCACACCCACCAGGGACCACCAGGTCAACACCACACCCACCAGGGACCACCAGGTCAACACCACACCCACCAGGGACCACCAGGTCAACACCACACCCACCAGGGACCATAGATCATCAGTACTGCTTGTGAATCTTCGTTGGATCTATTCCATACAACATATATTGAAAGACAATATCGTCAACGGCAGAATTATAGATCAAAATTTGGAGTTAATCTTGTACATGGGATGCTAGCTGGCGATCAAGTGCAGCCCTCACAGGCTTGACCTGGTGGTCCCGCCAGGGACCACCAGGTCAACACCACACCCACCAGGGACCACCAGGTCAACACCACACCCACCAGGGACCACCAGGTCAACACCACACCCACCAGGGACCACCAGGTCAACACCACACCCACCAGGGACCATAGATCATCAGTACTGCTTGTGAATCTTCGTTGGATCTATTCCATACAACATATATTGAAAGACAATATCGTCAACGGCAGAATTATAGATCAAAATTTGGAGTTAATCTTGTACATGGGATGCTAGCTGGCGATCAAGTGCAGCCCTCACAGGCTTAGTAAAGCCATTAACAGCAAATAAGTTAACTGTAGACAAGTAATATTGTAGTTTTTTAATGACCCCCCACATGTAGTAATTAATACATGTAGTCACGTCACTAAGTGAAGTTAATTGCGTGAGGCTAATCAGGAATCTTGCCATTAAAATCAACAGTTGCGATAAAACTACTAAAAAAATAAACATAAAAAATCCAAATCCAAAATAACCAAAAGATCTGCAAGTTTAAGATATTCTAATGTCAAAATGCATTCAAGTACTAATACAATTTAACTTGAGACTTAATTAACATATACCACAAGCACAGGACTAAAAGCTGGTAGCTACCATGCATAATACATCGTGAACGTACCGCATAAAAAGAAATTCTTCCAAAGCGCGCGGCTACGCGCGGGAACTGTGCGACGACACAACCCTCCCCCCTCGCCGTCCGGCACACACTGCCGGTGATAACTCCCCGTCTCAGGGATCATAACAATACAACCACTTCATGAGACTGGTCAAACTATGGTGTTGGAAACACCAATCTGACCGCCTCATAATAATAATTAGTATTATTAGAATAATTATTTATTAAGACAAAAGTACATACATACTGATGTATGTAAGTAAGCAATTAAAACGAAAAATAATAAACAGGTGGTATAAAAAAAATTGTATTACATTTATACACGGCAATTATCATTAAGATTACAGGTTCAGTAATTTATGTTCAATAACAGCAAAACATAGGTTAACAGTAAAGGTTGATAACACTGAGTTAGGTTGTTCTAGTTTCTGTTTTATACGGGTTGAGAGAGGGACAGTCTTTGATGTGATTATATAGGGAGGTCATTCCACATTTTGGGACCATTGGTCATGTGTAGAGCATTTCTACTTTAGTTAAGGAACTTAAACAGAGTCTATGTGTTGTCTGAAGACAGTTTGTTATAGTTCTGATAGCAGATTTTTGCTGAGTGATGATAGTTTGCTTGAGGTAGTTTTCTGTGGTTGAACCCCATGCACAGATGCCGTATGTAAGATTGTATTGATGAGGCTGGCAATACATCTACTCAACAAATTTGTATATAGGTTGCCAGCTGGTGCGTTGGTAACACTCTCCCGCCTAGAATCCATTTCAATTCTTTATTATGCACCCCATCCCCATCCCGTGGGGGGTGGTGTAAAGGGTTACAGAGGCACATAATCGGTCCAGGAACTGAACCCTCTAGTTCGTTTAAAGGAATCATTCAGAACTTTGTATACCACATATGTCAGACCAATCCTGGAGTATGCAGCTCCAGCATGGAGTTCATATCCAGTCAAGCATAAGACTAAACTGAAAATTATCAAAGATATTCCACCAGACTAGTACCCGAACTGAGGGGTATGAACTATGATGAGAGACTACGGGAATTAAAACTCACGTCGCTGAAAGACAGAAGAGTTAGAGGGGACATGATCACCACATACAAGATTCTCCAAGGAATTGATAGGTAGATAAGACAGTCTTTTTAATTCAAGGGGGACACAGGTGGAAATTGAGTGCCCAAATGAGCCATAGAGACTTTAGACAATTTTTGTTTAGTTTCTGAGTAGTTGACAAAAGGAATGCATTAGGCAGTGATGTGGCGGAGGGTAACTCCATACACAGTTTCAAGTGTAGATATGATACAGCCTAATAGGCTTAGGAACGTTGCATCAGTTGATTGACAGTTGAGAGGCGGGACCAAAGAGCCAGAGCTCAACCCCCGCAAGCACAATTAGGTGAGTACACACACACACACACACAGAGTTGCCAAGGCCACAAGAAGACATCAGTTAAGACCACAAGCCTAGCATCACCGGCCGCGTCCCTCCAGGATGTGCTGTAACCTTTACATTGCAAAACTCTCTACATCACTCAGATAACATATCCCACATTAGATTGTAAACTCGAGTCACGTTTGGTGTGGAGCCTGGCGTCGTACGACATGTACAAACATAACATTTACCTGCCTTAAATACCCCAATTATTATTATTGTCATCACAGTATTTCAAGAAACTAAGACTAACAAAAGAGCCATCACTGATACTTAAAGGGCAGAATGTTCTAGTATAAATAATCATATGTTTAAAATTGAGAATTTTATGTACTAAAACACTAAATATCTGCAGCAGTGTGACAATGTAATTTCCAGAATTAGGCTTGGGTATGGTTACTTATGATAGGTATAACAGCGGTTAATGACTCTTCCAACATTGAGCACTCCACAAGTAAACTCTGTAAATAAGAACTACGTCGCTGCAGCACTATATTGATGAATACTATCAATGATTTTAGACCAATTGTCCTTAACAATTCACCGCAGCCTCTGAAGAAGGTATCAATTCAGAAATCAAATAGATTATGAGATATACAGAAGACCACTCAGGAATTTGAATTCAGTCACCCAGGAAATCAGATCAGCCAAAAGACATGAAAGAAAATTGCTTAAAACATTAAGAAAGATTCCAAGTCTTTTTCTGTCCATATAAGTAAGGCAAAGATCAAAGCCTCGTTAAATTAAGACCTTCAAATGACTCACTAAGTTATAATAGACGATAAAAGGGCAACCAACACTTTAAATGAATAGTTTGCATCAGTGTTTAGACTAGAGAGTTTAGGCAACATTCCAATACCCACTGAAATGTTTGAAGCAGGGAAGAGTATGAATCTCACTTCATACAGGTCGGCGTTCAATCCCCGACCGTCCAAGTGGTTGGGCACTATGGGGGGGGGGGGGGGCAGTGGGCCCCCATACCCATCCTGTGGGCGGTAGTGGACCCCATACCCATCCTGTGGGCGGTAGTGGACCCCATACCCATCCTGTGGGTGGTAGTGGACCCCATACCCATCCTGTGGGTGGTAGTGGACCCCATACCCATCCTGTGGGCGGTAGTGGACCCCATACCCATCCTGTGGGTGGTAGTGGACCCCATACCCATCCTGTGGGCGGTAGTGGACCCCATACCCATCCTGTGGGTGGTAGTGGACCCCATACCTATCCTTTGGACGGTAGTGGACCCCATACCCATCCTGTGGGCGGTAGTGGACCCCATACCCATCCTGTGGGTGGTAGTGGACCCCATACCCATCCTGTGGGCGGTAGTGGACCCCATACCCATCCTGTGGGCGGTAGTGGACCCCATACCCATCCTGTGGGCGGTAGTGGACCCCATACCCATCCTGTGGGCGGTAGTGGACCCCATACCCATCCCGTGGACGGTAGTGGACCCCATACCCATCCCGTGGACGGTAGTGGACCCCATACCCATCCTGTGGGTGGTAGTGGACCCCCATACCCATCCTGTGGGCGGTAGTGGACCCCATACCCCATCCCGTGGGCAGTAGTGGACCCCATACCCATCCCGTGGACGGTAGTGGGCCCCATACCCATCCCGTGGACGGTAGTGGACCCCATACCCATTCTGTGGACGGTAGTGGACCCCATACGTACCCATCCTGACCTTAAAAGCTTCCTAGAAGGTTGTAACAGAACCCATGAGCACCTCACCAGAAACAAATACCTATTGGATATTCCAAGAGTGCGCCTTAACCAAATTAGAAATGCTCTACAAATCCAGGGTTTGTGAGGGTACATAGCATTTATTTATTTATTTATTTATTTATTTATTTATTTATTTATTTATATACAAGAAGGTACATTGGGTTTGTGAGAATACATAGCATAGTACAGTATTTACACTCTTGTAAAGCCACTAGTACGCGCAGCGTTTCGGGCAGGTCCTTAACCTAACAGATAATTTTAAGTAGGAAAATTCTATCAGAATTAATAAAATGATAACAAATACATTGCAAGAAAAAAATGAGATGAGAGAGATTAGTAAGTATGGTGTTTACAGTCTTGTAAAGCCACTAGTACGCCACTAACTACTGAGCCACTAGCCACTGAGAGCCGAATAGTGCAACACTAAAACATATATGGACACACTGTAACATATTTTGTTATACATAAGCTTTATTATTATTATTATAGATGTCCGAGACGCTTTGGAGTTGTCATTTGTGCGGCGCACCTGTTGCACTGGCCCTCGGTACGGACTTCCTGATTGGGCAGAAGTAGACATTGAGGAGGAGTAGGGAAGCGGGTGGACCAATGAGGAGGGCGGTAGCAGGCGGTGTAGGCCCGGGTGGGAGGCTGCCCCAGCTGGGAGCACAGTTCCTGTTTACATGGGGGAACGTCTCGGGAGAGTCGCCGAGATATGAGATTTCAGGCGAGTTGTGACGTTTGTGGGGCGGGAGTGTGGGCGTGTGGGCGGCCTCCTAGAGGCCTCCTGGAGGCAAGCAGGCGCCTCTCCGGCCTCCTCCTCACATCAAACTATCGGGAAATAACATCCTTGAAGGTTCCTCGTACAGAATATCAAGTCCAGATTAGATAAATTTAAGAGTTACAACAACTTGTTTTGTATATTTTGGAGGGGTTAAGATTGTTGGTATTCAGATACTTTTGAAATAATGTTTGAGAATACTGTACTGTATTTCTAAGAGATGGGATACTCAGGTGATGCATTGGTGTAGTGTTGAAAGTATTGGGCAGGTCCCAGGCGGGTCCCAGGCGGGACTAGTCTCTGGGACACTAGTGTCAATAAAGACCTCTGGGTGCACCCATAGTGTGTCAGAGTAACGTCATGCCATACACATAATGTATACAGTATATACCATGTTTTCCTTAGGTTTTTAAGAGTAGGATTAAATACCAAGAAAACACTGGGTCAAGGGGACCTCTAAACCCTCCTTATGTTCCGGAGCTATTTGTAGTTGTGATAACATTTTGGTAGATAAATTGTTAGTTATATAATTAGGGCAGACATGAGTGCATGCTTTTACAGTACAGCTTCATGCACAGCTTCACGTGACACCTTAATTGGCACAGGAACTCAAACACCACTTGATCAGAGGTTGAGAGCTGGGAACCCTGGGGGAGAGCTGGGAACCCTGGGGGACAGCTGGGAACCCTGGGGGACAGCTGGGAACCCTGGGGGAGAGCTGGGAACCCTGGGGGAGAGCTGGGAACCCTGAGGAAGAGCTGGGAACCCTGGGGGAGAGCTGGGAACCCTGGGGGAGAGCTGGGAACCCTGGGGGAAAGCTGGGAACCTTGGGGGAGAGCTGGGAACCCTGGGGGAGAGCTGGGAACCCTGGGGGAGAGCTGGGAACCCTGGGGGAGAGCTGGGAACCCTGGGGGAGAGCTGGGAACCCTGGGGACAGCTGGGAACCCTGGGGGAGAGCTGGGAACGCTGAGGAAGAGCTGGGAACCCTGGGGGAGAGCTGGGAACCCTGGGGGAGAGCTGGGAACCCTGGGGGAGAGCTGGGAACCCTGGGGGAGAGCTGGGAACCCTGGGGGAGAGCTGGGAACCCTGGGGGAGAGCTGGGAACCCTGGGGGAGAGCTGGGAACCCTGGGGGAGAGCTGGGAACCCTGGGGGAGAGCTGGGAACCCTGGGGGAGAGCTGGGAACCCTGAGGGAGAGCTGGTAACCCTGGGGACAGCTGGGAACCCTGGGGAGAGCTGGGAACCCTGGGGAGAGCTGGGAACCCTGGGGAGAGTTGGGAACCCCGAGGGAGAGCTGGGAACCCTGAGGGAGAGCTGGGAACCCTGGGGGAGAGCTGGGAACCCTGAGGGAGAGCTGGGAACCCTGGGGGAGAGCTGGGAACCCTGAGGGAGAGCTGGGAACCCTGGGGGAGAGCTGGGAGCTGTGACTAAAGAGCTGAAGCTGAAAACTATGCATGGACAGTTAGGTGGGTACACTTACATACTGTACTACCTGTAATTTGTAATATAAAATAAAATTTTGTATTTCGTGCTAAAATTTGGGATCTAGAGAGCTCTTTTTTTAAATAAGCAGATAAATTGTATACAAATTTCAGTCAGTAATAAGTTTTAGAAATCAATAAAATTTACAGGTATATATACAGTATAATCTATTAAGAGAAGAAAGTTATGTCAACCTGCAGAATTTAGTACAGTACTTTATTGTGTAAATTTATATGTAGTACTATAACCAAGATAAAATATATTTATTGTAGCATCTACAGTGTATAGAAATTTCTGTTACTGGTACATAAAAGGTGTGTGTTATAGCCATTCTGAGTTACAGCCATAAAGGTATAATTTATCTTCTATAAATTTGGGGGATATTGCATTGTAGTTAAAAAATGATAGCACAGATTTGATACTAAAATCTATTTAAAATCATAACCAAATACAGAGGAAGAGTAAACTGACACACACTCAAGCAAGTATTATTGAGGCTTTTTTGGTGAGGCAACCTTTTTATTCAGCTTTCGCCATGTGGCTCGGTCTCCCACAGGTAACATGACGGAGGGTAACACGATGGGGGTTGAGAGGGAGGAGTATGTGGAGGTGGTGCAGGATTACTCTTACCAGCGGGATGACCGCACCTTTCACATGACGAAGGGAGAGATCCTGATGCTCCTCAAGCGTTCCACCAGTGACTGGTGGCAGGTTGGTCATCTACTTATTGTTCTCTCGCTCCCTCTCTTGTCCTGAGTAGTGATTGGTTCTGGTCTATGCTATAGTGGTATCTTGTACTATTCTCACTTATAATTTTTGTTAGAGTTTGATCTGATATTTAATTTTTTTGTACAGACATGTTTATTTTATAGTAGTAATTGAGTTGTATTGAACTCTCACATATGCAACCATTGAAGGCATCTCTTATCACTTAGCTTCCTGTTTAAGCCTCTTTGAGGTAAATGTGATAGTCGATTTGTTTTGTGGGCCTCTAACTTAGAGGATGTGGTACAGAGATAGGAATAAGAAGTTGCATAGAAGCAAAAATATACTGTACTTAAATGCATGATTTATGCATATTTAAGAATTTATACAAAGGTAGAACAGATTAAGGAAGAGAGGTGATATGTCATCCCAAGAAGAGTGGTGATATGGTCTAGCTACCTGTTGTCTACCAGTAGTTAGCATTGGTGATTAATGTCATAATGACCCAGTCTCTGATGAGGCTTCCTGGTTGGTGGTCTAGTAAACCAGGCTGTTAGAGGCAGCTGGTCACAGCCTGATGTATGGATCACAGCTTAGTTGATTGGGGATCTTTTGGTGGTGCATATAAAGTTCTCTCTCTTGGACACTGTGAGAGGTAGGCACTTATAGTCTTTGTGTGTTGAGGGAGAATTTTGAAAATCCTTGGGCTCTTGATGCTAATAAAATTCTCTCGTCTTATCTATTGCACCTCTGCTTTTCAACAATACTGTTTTGCCCTTCTTCCGCTGTCTACTGATCTCCGTGTACAGATTTGGAACTATTCCCCCTAATTGTTCCCATGTGTAAACTTTTTATTTATATCTCCCACCTGTGCTTTAGGGGAATACAGGTTTTGAAATTTTAAGCAGGCCCAATAATTTAGATGTGTCATTGAGTGGAGTCATGCAGGAAAACAAATGCTCTACAAAGCATTTTGCATGTTCTCCATGTCAGCAATTTCTCCAGCTTTGAATGCTGCTGTTAGTATGTAACAATATTCCATCCTAGAGAGAACTAGTTTATTAAAATGTATCATCATTGGTGTGGCATCTCTCGTTTGAAAAGTTCTTGTTATCCACACTGTCATTTCTCGGGGAGGTCCTTGTGCTATCATCCAGCTATCCCATCCCTGAAGCTATCATCTCTGATGTAGGTGCTATCTACTAGGTGCCATCAATCACAGAGTTCTACGACCTACTGGGAACCAAGCACCAGAATCTGGCCCCCTCACAGAGGTGCAGGGAGCCGTGGCATTTATATACTGTACTGTATTAAGTTATTCATTTACGTCTCCATTGAGGAAGGCACCTAGAAAGTCAATGTGTCAAAACAAACCACAGCTGGCTGCCTCTTAGCCGCAGCCTTGAAAATAGCCATAGAACTCACCAAGGTATGTAAGTAAATGAAAAAATTGTCATAAAACTAGCACCCGCTCGTTTGCCCCATCCTACCCCTTATTTGAGGGGGGGTGGAAGGGGGCAGGCCACAGTTTGCAAGCCACTCTATCATCAGTTCTTCTCTGATGTATAAGCAATGTTGGGTCTGCCACTGTTGATCTGACCCCAGTATTTTTTATTTTTTTTTGCTTATAGCTGTTCCTTGCACACTTGTGTAGTGTGGGCCAAGAGTTTAGTGCGATTGGACCTGCATGTTTCAGAGTTCCCTTTATCTGGCGTGCTCTAATGCTGCCCTTACATTATCAAGGCTTTCTTCTTCCCTGAAGTGCTCAGGAGACACTCCTTTAGATGTCTACCACACTTGTGGCCTTCACCTTGGGGTAAGTCTGGTGTCTTCAGACACCAAACTTACCCCAAGTCTTTTCCGTGGTTGGAGCATCTTAGCTGGGGAAGTTCTTTTGTTCTTTCAGGACATAGATAGCAATTTTCACCAGCCTGTCGTCTGTTTTGTTTCGTCTACCTTGCTGGGTGCTTTCCATGGTTGATGGCAAGTATGACATACTTTAAATGTAAAGTGTTCATAGGCCATTGCTCCCTGCGCCTCTCTGAAAGGGCCAGGTTCTGGCCAGTTGTCCTCAGTAAGCAAAAGGACTCTGTGATTGATGACCCCAACTAATAGAGCACTATATCAGTACTGATAGCTTCAGGGAGTTTCTTTCCTATTTATCCTGGTTGTTTCTGGGGGGAGCCCCTTCGACTTCCCGGAACTATCCGGGTTGATATGAATGTATTAGACCCCTGGTATCAGTCAAAGTGAATTGAGTTCTTAGGCCTACCCGGGTCCACGAGCCAGAACCTGGCCCCTTCAGAGAGGAACGAGGAGCAATGGCCTATAGAAACCCCCGTGTGGTTGGAAGCATTCCGTGTCTGCCATTGACCGGGTCAGGCACCCAGTAAGGTAAGCGCCCCAAAACAAACCCCTATTCTGATTAAAGTATTGCTACTGAAAGCCGAACTAGTGGACAGAACTCTCCAAGTGAAAACGAGCAAACGAGCGTGACATCACCATGCTGCTGTCTGGCCCCCCCTCCCCGGGAGGGGAAAGGGGGAGCCCCAGACCCTTGCACTGGCTATCCACTCTGCAGTTCTTAGGCTGAATGTCAAAACCGCGAAAAAACGCCGACCAGAGGGAGGGTTGCCGGGGAATCCTCAGGTCTCGCCCAGAAAATGACGTTTCATTACATTCAACACTGGTATTCTTGGGGAAGCTCCTTTGGCTCCCTGGAGCTATCTACCTAAAGAAAAAACAAGGGGGACTTAACCGGGAGGCGGTTGGCACTCGTTCCTCAACTTAAAGTCGCGACAACTGGCTGCAACCGCCGACCCAAAGTGACACAAGCCTGACTAGGCCCCAGGAACATTGAGAAAGTAGCGAGCGGCCAGGACACTGTTCGATTTCCAAAAACCCCATGCCTGAATGTCAGCCCAGGACATGTTGCCAAAGACGACAGCCAATGCAGCAAACTGACGAATGTCGTGAGCATGGGGATAGACCGCAGGCTGGCTGGACCGAATAACTCTGTGGACAACCTGAGAGACCCGAACCCTGGAACAGGGAAGAAGGGGAACCGTTTCAACCTAACCTCCATCCCCGGCCACGGAGGCCGCGGAGCGCAGGTAATGGTGAAGAGCTACGACCGGACACAACACATGATGCACCCCCGGCTGAACCAACCAAGCATCAACAACCTAAGGACCCCTCCAGAAAGCAGCAGTCTCATTCTATGCCAGAAAAGGAGGAGACGGCTGCAAACGAACAAACCTACCACCAGGACCGAAAGAGTAGAAACCCCTGCGCTGGAGGAGAGCATGAAGCTCCCCTCAGGTTGTGGGGAAAGGGGACGAGGTGGTGGGGGAAGGGGGACAAGCTGGTGAGGGAAGGATAGTTATATGGAGTTAAAAATTAATGTCTTTTCTAAATTTATGTACTGTGCTGTATGCTGATCATAGTATTTAAAGACTGTCAGTAATTATTTTAGGACCATAGATACAGAATGTAGACAGAATACTTTGAAAGTATGTTTTTCTGTATTCTTGCATGTTTAGAAGAATGTATAAGAAGAATATATATTTGGTATATACTATACTGTATTTATATATCTAATTTTTTTTCAGGTCATAAGACAAGGAGAACAACGACCATTCTTTGCTCCTGTGCAATATGTACATATAACAACTGTGCCACAAGAACAAATGAAACAATTTATCAAGCAAGGAAGGCAGCAGCAAAAGCTGCACCAAAAGCAAAGTTCAGATGAAATCATTCCAGTTAATAGGCCGCAGGGCTTATCATTACAACAGATGGAAAGCCTGTCTGCATCAGCCAATGTAGAGATTCCATTTACCATCAATCCAGTTACTAGTCATAGTTACATGGCTACAATAGAGCCAACCGGGGTAGTATCAGAGAGGAGAGATCAGTTCCCAAACAGACCGCATGGATTTTCCTCTTTTAAAAACGATTCACTTAAAGGGTTGTCCCCCAGGAACAGCAGCAGCAGCAGCAATGAGCTGCTGTCTCCAAACAGTCGAGGTCCTGCACACGGAGGACAGGAATCCTCGTCCTCACACACATCAAAATCAAGCTTGAATGATGGCAGCATGGAGTCACTCAAGTATCTCCATTCTAGAAAGCAAGGGATAAAGGCAGCTTCACATGATGAGTTAATATGTGGGAATCGAAGTCAATCCACTTTGGATGTTAGTCAACCTCGAGCAGCTAGCAATGAGGAATTGGATGGTCATTATAGTGGCAGAGATTATATATTTAAGAGCAATCAACTAAGTTATCGTCATAGATCCAACTCTGTTGATTTTAGATTATTTCAGAAAGAATTATCATTTAGTGAAATGAAGCAAGGATCTCTTGATAAGAGTCGTAAGCCAAGACTGTCAAAAGATCCAGGCAATAGACGTAGATCCTGGGCAGTTGAGGAGCTACGTGCATCAGAGAATTTCCGTCCTTCTCTAAGAAGAGGGGAGACTGTGGATGCAGCCATTGTCCTGGATGTGCCTCCAAAACTGCCACCTAAACAACGAAAGCAGAGACTTGAAACATTTAACTCTAGCTCAGAAAATATTGGTATTTTAGAAGGACCAATTGACATTAAGTTACAGGAAGTTAAACTAAGTATGGCTCCATCTGGAATAAATGTTAACAGTCAAAGTCACTCCCGTGAGATGGGACATTATCGCCACACCTCTGATCCTCTTATATTGTCAGAAAATGAACATAAAAATTCTCTTAGTCGTCATGATGCTCAGGATTTAAAAGATCCTCCAGTTGCTTTACCAAGAAAGATTTTACCTCCTCAAGTTTCTTCACTTGAAAGAAACAAAGAGGATGAGGAATCCACAAAAAGTATGAAAGTTGGCATTTCAGCATCAGTAAGTTTAGGTGATTCTTTGCCTAGAGAAACAAATAGCAGTCAGGTAAAGAAAAGCTCAAGCCATAGTAATTTGAGTAGTAATCCTGCCAGTAAGGGTGGAGGAATTCTGAAGAGGGGTGCAAGTTTGTCAAAAGGGAACCATGGACCAAAGATCTGCACTAATCCTGACTCTGTTCCAAAAATTCCTGGCACAATAGATTTGTTGAGAATTGATGGTGGCACTCCAACATCTACCAGGAAAGACTATGGACCTCCTGAGTCTCCTAGAAAACATCATATATCTTCTGGAAAGGTGGCTGGAATTATTGAAACATGGAGGAGCTTCAAGTACAAGGGTGAGAGGCGAGACTGCAAGAAGGAAGACGAGAAGGAAAACGAAGGTGGCATAATGTCATCTAGAGAGACTCCAACGCCTGACACTTCACGTGGTGGAAAAATGACACAGGTATGTTAGCTGACTTAGTAGATACATGTCCACTCTTGCTGAGAGGAAATAAATTATATTATTCTACTTGAAGGCTGATTGCTGACTACATTCAAAGTATTTTAAAGAGATGTATATGCAGCAGCCTTTACAGCATTGATTGAATAATTGTACTACAGTATTTTAATGCAATGGATGTAATATGATGTTATACATGAGCGGGATGTGAGTTTATGTACGTTATGTGCTGTGCATGCTGCATGGTCTGATAAATTATGCATCACTGAATTTGGCAGATAACTAGATGAGTGACCACGTGCATATAGCCTTCCCTTTGACTAACTCAGTGTTCCAAATGTTTAATGTCACTCAACAGAATATACACTACACTTAGAATGTGTGAATAGAGTTATAGATAATATGTAGGTAAGCAGATCAAGAATTAACTTTACAGTGGAACCTTGGTTTTCAAATTTTTCAGTTCTCAAGCTCAATGTCTTCAAAACATTTAACTCGATATTTGAGGTTTACCCAGGTGCTCGAGTTTGTTGATACACGTATGGGCAAACCAAGCATGTGGTGTACTTCAGTTTACCAGCGTCTCCCGCCAAGTGACGACCACACTTGAATTCTCTGTGAAGAATTTCATTGTTTTTGTGCCTTTTTTTATTTCTGATCATAAAAGTTCTTATTATATATCTTGCCATGGGTTTCATGAAAGTCAGTGGTAAAGTTCAACCTAAGAAAATAGTTGTGTGGAGGACAATACTGTAGAGGAAAAACAAGAGATCATTCATAGTGAGACAATGTGATGTCTCACCACAGACAAGTGCTAAAACGTAGGTAAAAACAAGTGTCTATAGACAGATTCTTAGTAAGACAAGCAACGTCCTAATGGTATGCCTGCAAAACGTAAGAGAGAGAGAGAAAGTACCCCAGAAATGTCATCACTACTGTTATAATGGAAGGGGACTCCTCTTTCAAACACTAACACCTCTTCTCCTCCTCTTCCATATGCTAACAAGAGTCCTCAATAAAGGTAAGATATACTTGTACACACTGTAGTACAAAATATTAGTAGTAGCATGTAAACAGTTATTTTTTAAGTTCATATTTTTTGGGGTGTGGAATGGATTAATTCAGTTTACATTATTTCTTATGGGACAATTCGTTTTGGTTTTCGAACCGTCTCTGGGAACAGATTAAATTTGAAAATAAAGGTACCACTGTACTTTAAATTATTTCCGAATATTCAAGTGTGAAACTGCAAGGTATAATTCCTTCCATAAAAGTACTACTGTAGAGAAATTCAAGGTTTTGAGAGTGAACATAATTGACAAGGCAGTTCCTTTCAGTTTTGAAACAAGTATGCAGTAGTTTGGCACTTTGTTCCTTTACTGTGATAACTCAGAAATTAGCAATGGCATTTGTCTTGCCTGTGTTTGCTTTGTATCTTTCCTCATCTCTGGGTGATGAAGGGTTTGGTGTTTGCTTGTTGATTCGCACTCTCTTGTGCCTGGTTTTCCCACTCGATGGTTGTTTGAAGCAGTGGTGTTGTTTGTGTCAGGAAGGTTAGTTACATCATAACTTTACTAGTTTGTTTATGATGGACAACTTTTTTATATACAGTATGTATGTGTAATTACCTAAGTACTGTATAGTTACAGGATGAGAGCTACGCTCGTGGTGTCCCGTCTTCCCAGCACTATTTGTCATATAACGCTTTGAAACTACTGACGGTCTTGGCCTCCACCACCTTCTCACCTAACTTGTTCCAACCGTCTACCACTCTGTTTGCGAAAGTGAATTTTCTTATATTTCTTTGGCATCTGTGTTTAGCTAGTTTAAATCTATGACCTCTTGTTCTTAAAGTTCCAGGTCTCAGGAAATCTTCCCTATCGATTTTATCAATTCCTGTTACTATTTTGTATGTAGTGATCATATCACCTCTTTTTCTTCTGTCTTCTAGTTTTGGCATATTTAATGCCTCTTAACCTCTCCTCGTAGCTCTTGCCCTTCAGTTCTGGGAGCCACTTAGTAGCATGTCTTTGCACCTTTTCCAGTTTGTTGATGTGCTTCTTAAGATATGGGCACCACATAACAGCTGCATATTCTAGCTTTGGCCTAACAAAAGTCATGAACAATTTCTTTAGTATATTGCCATCCATGTATTTAAAAGCAATTCTGAAGTTAGAAAGCGTGGCATAGGCTCCTCGCACAATATTCTTTATGTGGTCCTCAGATGATAGTTTTCTATCTAGAACCACCCCTAGATCTCTTTCTTTATCAGAATTCTTTAAAGATTTCTCACATAATATATAGGTTGTGTGGGGTCTATGTTCTCCTATTCCACATTCCATAACATGGCATTTATTAACATTAAATTCCATTTGCCAAGTGGTGCTCCATATACTTATTTTGTCCAGGTCATCTTGAAGGGCATGACAATCATCTAAGTTTCCTATCCTTCCTATTATCTTAGCATCATCAGCAAACATGTTCATATAATTCTGTATACCAACTGGTAGATCATTTATGTAGACAATAAACATCACTGGTGCAAGAACTGAACCCTGTGGTACTCCACTTGTGACATTTCTCCAGTCCGATACATTGCCTTTGATCACTGCCCTCATTTTTCTATCAGTCAGAAAATTTTTCATCCATGTTAGAAGCTTACCTGTCACCCCTCCAATATTTTCCAGTTTCCAGAACAACCTCTTATGTGGAACTCTGTCGAAAGCCTTTTTTAGGTCTAGATAGATGCAGTCAACCCAACCATCTCTTTCCTGTAATATCTCTGTTGCTCGATCATAGAAACTGAGTAAATTCGATACACAGGATCTTCCAGATCGAAAACCATACTGTCTGTCTTATATTATATAATTTCTCTCCAGGTGTTCTACTCATTTAGTTTTAATTATTTTTTCCAATATTTTGACTATTACACTTGTCAATGATACTGGTCTATAATTAAGGGGGTCTTCCCTGCTTCCACTTTTGTAGATTTGGAACTATGTTAGCCTTTTTCCATACATCAGCTACAACTCCTGTAAACAGGGTGCAAAAATCCAGGCCAAAGCGCTTGCGAAGCGCCTGACTGGGCTCTTGCTCTGGGTTCTGGCTTGGTTGGAATCTTACCAAAGAAGGTCTTATGAATGAATGAAGTCTTATGTTGATGACTCGATGAATGCTGGAGAGGTTTCCTTTGTATATAAGGAATATTATATAGGAAGAGGCTATTTTAAAACATAAACCCAATTTTAAGAAATGACTAACCAAACAACTTTTGTCTAATCTCTAACACGTATCACAGTGCCAAACACCTAACCCATAAAACATGCAGTATACCTAAAAGCTTTCAAGTCACTGGTCATCTTTTAGGAAATGCAATGTTGTTATTCATTTAAGCATGAAATATTGCATGCAAAATAACGTAATACCTTTTCAGACTCCACCTTCACCACAAACAAGTCCCCAAAGGATAGTTTTTGATGACTGGGGTGAATATATTGATGAGGGTACAAAAAGACAATATTTTTATAACACAAGAACCCGCGAGAAGCGATGGAAGCCCCCACGAAAAGGAATACATTCAGTTGCCATTCCTGAGGTAAATTTTGTGTTCATATGGGTATTTTTATTATTTTTTTTTATGAAAGAAGTCTCCCTAGTAATTCTTTCACAAGAAGACTATATTCAGCTTTTTTATTAGATGTAAATTAGCAAGGTATTATAAAAATGTGTACAATACATACTAACCCATTGTTGGTTTGGGGATTATGTCCATGCCGAACCTGGTCCTGGGCCAGAGGATGTCATTTAACATGTCTCATTTTCACATTCATCTCAAACCAAATTATTTGATATGTCTTAATGTAAACTTTGTATTGTACATGAGGTAGCCAAACTCACTGCCATCATCACTTTGGAAAATTTCCTTATTCTGTATTAACTTTCCACATGGCTCACAGAGCAGTAAATTAAAAGTTTGTTGATGTACAGTATAAGAATCACAGACTTTGACTTTATTATTATACCTCACAAAAAATATATACTGAGCTTGTATAAAAAATGACTTTGATATTTATTATTGTATTTTCATGATAATTATTGAGTAAAAAATGTATAGTAACAATAATTTAATTGTAAATGTGGCTATCATAAATATTACTTCTTGTTGCTAGCTGCACTAAGATACCTCTACATTATTAAGTCATTTATGAGTTATATCTTGAGGTTATCTTGAGATGATTTCGGGGCTTTAGTGTCCCCGCGGCCTGGTCCTCGACCAGGCCTCCACCCCCAGGAAGCAGCCCGTGACAGCTGACTAACTCCCAGGTACCTATTTACTGCTAGGTAACAGGGGCATTCAGGGTGAAAGAAACTTTGCCCATTTGTTTCTGCCTCGTGCGGGAATCGAACCCGCGCCACAGAATTACGAGTCCTGCGCGCTATCCACCAGGCTACGAGGCTCCTATATATATGCTATAAACAGCATTTGTTTTATTATTAAGTGCTAAAAAAATTATTTGTCAATTCTTTAGTATTGTTAACTTGAGATTGGTATGAGAAAATTGCTAGTAGTTAATCAACACAATCCTTAAATATATGATAAACTCTTTAGCATTGTTTTGTGATAGAGGATGTGTGTGTTTTCCAATGTAGGTACCTCCATCTGCTAGACAAGAGGAACCGAGATGTGGCTCAAGTCGTCCACCAAGGAGTCCGGCACCTGACTATCCCAATTCTCCCAAATCCTCCCATAAGCCTTTCTCTTACTCAAACCTGCCTGAAGGATACTTACCGTCACAGTTAAACAGGGCTGCTACTCTCACACCGGCCTCCAGTGTCACCTCGCACCCACAGCTGGTTTCGTCTCTCACATTACCTGCATATGGTGTTTCCTCACACAAGAACATGTCTCTACACTTTCCTTCCAATGCCCACCAAATTCCTGCCCTGGGTTCAAATACTCCCCCCATTGCCCCACCCAGCAGTGCCAAACCCCACTACCCATCCACTCCTACCACTGAATTTCCAGAATTACCTGAGACTGAATCAAATTCTGCCTTGCTTGACATATTATACAATATGAGTCCCCCAAAAGGCTGGCGTAAAGAATATGATGCTCTCACACAGATGGTATACTTCTACAACACGGCTACCAAACAGCGGGTATGTGTGCATCTGATTTTTGTATTTTTCAATTTGCTTTAACTTCATACAGTATATATTTGTTAATAATATATGTGATGACCAAACCACACATCAGAAAACGGAGAAACAGTGGCGTTTTAGTTCGTCCTGAACCATTATCAAGTCATGTGAGATAACATCAATTCTCACATGACTTGGTGTGATTTGGGCATTATATTTTCAGGTATGTTATTGTGACTCATCATCTGTATATTGATGTGGGAGCCTAGGGTATGTAACGTATGGCAGTCCACTAGTGCCGCAGCACTCTCACACTAGCACTCGTCTCGGGTCTTAGTTCTTCTCTCTGTGCCACTGTCCACCCATGGGAGCACCTTAGTCGCCCATGGGGTTGGAGTTCCCTGAACTCCTTGCCTTGCCCCTGTAACATATCAGAAAATGCGAAGAAAGAAAAGAAGACAAGGTGGTGGGCATGGGGTGAGGGAAGTAGAGAGGTGGAAGGAAGATGCAAGGAGTATGGTCAGGGGAAAGGAAAAGTTTTGAGTGAGAGGGAGAGAATGAGATCAAGGAAAGAGTAGAAGACTAGAAAGTAAGAGTAGAAGTATAGTAGAAAGATAGAAGTAGAAGAGTAGAAGGTTGCTACCACCATCCATTCAAGTTAGTTAGCTATAAGATAAGGAATGGAACTTGTCTGCACACAACAATATTTTCTGATGTTATTATGTATCAAATGTAAACATGTACTCGTATACCCAAGAATCTTTGCCATCAAAATCTTAAGCCAGTAAACTTCAGAGGGCTCTCCACTCTAGCTTTCAAAATCCAAAATCTAGGTATCAGAATTAAAGACAATTTACAAAAATAAGTTAATCAGTTATATATTTACTATTATGTGTATCATAATTCACCCATTTCACTTGATGTTCAATATGTCAACATTAATTCACAAATTTGAGTCGCCACACAAGAAATTGAGAGCACTACTGCTGACTGCCCCTGAGAATCACACACCACCTAAGTTAAAATCACAATATATGTCACCTTACAAGTTCACTCACCAGAGTCTCTGAGACTAAGTTTTATTGAGGGGGGGGGGAGGGGGTACAGCTAACAGACGGAGTCCCCACCGACCAGACAGGCCTGGTCTGGCTGCGGGCCTCTCGACAAGCGATCTATCTATCGTTGTCCTGCTCAATGTCTCAAATGTACAGCTCCACAGGTATTTATGGGGGGAACTGGGAGCTAAGCTCTATGTACCAAGGAGATAGCCGCTGGCTATTTACCTACCATCTACCACCTAGACAGTGGCTTGTTTGATGGAAAGACACAGTCACTGGTTGCAATTATCAGCTTAGCAGAAATCAAGCTCACTTCACATGACCTGACCCCTACTCAACCTATGACCATTAAATCTCTAAAGGTGTGACTTCTTAATTGCTAAGGGCTGAGTGTCTGGCGACACCAATATCCAGCACCTTCTACTCATTATAGCACCCTCTACAGCAGCACGCTATATTCACTGCAGTAACCCATCCTCATTGCAGCACCCTGTAGTTATTGCGCCACTCTCTTCTCATTGCATCCTGAGATATTCGAGTCCATGGATACTTATCTCGATCGTCTATGTTCATATCTTATCTCGATCATCTATGTTCATTTCTTATATAGTTATCAAATTTCATTGCCACAGTAAAATATCGTAATGTTTTGTGCACAATGCAACGTGCATTCTCCAACGATTATTTGTGAAGAGTTTCCCTCTTTATTTATTTTGTTTTATTATTCTCAGAAGACTTAATTGATAAGTCTTGTGATGTTGATAACAGAGTTACCGGCTACTCATAAATTACACTCAGCGAGTTGAAGTTAAATATTTGTTTCAAAAAGTTTGATAGGAGCAATAAGGTGCAAGACAAACTCAATATGTATGGGTGCCCAAAATGTAAAATATAACAGTATAACAGTACTGTGCTGTGCTACAGTTAGGACTTTATGTACTGTATTTGAGGTAATGTCCTTCACAAGCTCTTACTAGTAACTGTAAGAAATATTGTTAGTACTGTATAGTAGTTGATCATTTCAAGAGAGAGAGAACTTGATTAAATTTTTATCAACCGTGGACTATTGCCAGCAACATTCTCATTGACTAGTAAACACGTGGAAACTTGGCCTTAGGTCTTACTCTGGGAATACAACACTGCTTGAAATCAACTGATTGGAATCAAAATGTGTTTCCATGACAGTTGATCAAGTAAACTTCACTGCCAATTTTTCTTGCTTACCGTGGATATGATCAAAGCTGATTTAGAAGTTAGTATGTGATTGAAGGAACACAGACACGTCTAGCATCACGAACACGGACCAGACATGGTGCAGATAATGCTGGAAATGTTGCTGATGTTCACCTTAATCTACACACCACTCTCGCATGTGTTGCTTACAATTATTGTTCAGTTCAGAATTTTTCAAGTAAATTCTGTATGAGAACTAAATTTATTATATTTTTAATTAGCTTTTAATAGGTAGTATTTCATAAATCATTGTACTATAGTACTGTATATCTATTTATCTATATATATATATATATATATATATATATATATATATATATATATATATATATATATATATATATATATATATATATATATATATATATATATATATATATATATAATATAATACACATTGTATATACACACACACACACACACAGTACTAATTAATGGGTTAAATATACCGGGAAGATATAAATTTGTTAACAGTATATTTGTTAATTTATAAGTTAAATTTCAGTTTGCATATCTAAACAAAATACCAACAAATAGAATTAATTATTTGGATATAACTTAAGTAAATAGTTTATTTCTGTTTAACTGATAAATATATATTTTAAAATTGTTGAAGAAATAAGTGTAGTTTCATAAAGGTGTGGCTGTTGTGGTAGCAGAGGGAGACTGGTGAACAATGTCTTTCATATTGTATTGTTCACCCTACAAAGAAAGTTTGAATTATTTGTGAACTTGCTTAGGAATATTGAGCATATAGGTGGCAATTCTAAATAATATAATTTTGTTATATAAGTGGATTAAGAAGTAGACATAGTAGAGTAGCTAGCAAACACACACAAGGTAATGGAGAAGAAATGAAAAGTTAATTTTGTAGATAGACAATCTAGAGAGGAAGTAATATCCTGTGTGCTATCGTAAGTGACCTGCAGCCTACCACGTCGGGAAAATTGGTTGCTGGTGTGGGCTCTTCCCCCACAGTACTGGCTGGGGGGTAGAGTAGTGCTTAGTGTGGTTACGTGTGGCAGATATACTGAGGGGGTCTGTTGTGTGAGAGAGTGGAGGCCGTGGAGAGTGTGCAGCATTATTGTCTACATCGTGAGCAGCAGTGGTTCCCCAGGGAGGAGCCCTGCCCCTGCCAAGATGGCATACAGACACCAGTCTTACCCAGCTGCCCCCCCCACACTCACCCTCCCTCACACCACTACTAAACTCCACCCCATTTGTTCTTCTCAAGCATTGATGTGAAAAATAACTTGATTGTGCTTATATGAGAAAATACATAGCAGTGCAGTTCAGTATTCTAAATGTAATGGCAGTGGTTTTGAAGACTTGCAATCTGCTCTTTTAATTTTTATACTGATATTTGATTTAAATTACATATTAATATATTAACTTATTCAGTTTTAATTACAGGAGAGAGTGCTGATTGATTTTGTTCATCTAGATGTATGTAAAGTGTTCTTTATGTTAATGACTTAGTCTATTTAAAGCTTTATTAAAACCATGAGTGATGATCAGTGCACGATAACTCTGATGGACCATGTGGTTTTCCAGTCAAAGGGAGTTACGTGGGTGACAGAAGTGGACATTTCCCATCACGAGAACAAGCAGTACATGCGCAAGAGTTACCAGAGTACAATGGATCTTGCCAAAGAACTGCAGTTAGATGCAGATGTTTTTGTTAATAAGTGTTATGATTCTGGAGAAGCTTCTGTAAGGAGTACTGTTACTCCCGCTTGTGAAGGTGATAATACAATAAACGTGACAGAAAAGATTCAAACACAGAATCATCCTGAAGCTTCAAAAGCACCGGGACATAAACAGGAACGAGATGTTGGTCACGATGCCAAAGTTCCGCCAAAAAAGCCTCCTCGAAAATCTCAGTTGTCTGTGCAGGCATCACTGCCTATTCAGACAAGACAGACAGAGGTGGTTGCAATCACCAGCCGCCCACGTTCGCCACGTGTCCAGACTCGTTGTGTTTTGGGCCCACTTGATACTCCGTCAATAATGGAACCTGGTTCTCGAGTCTCCTCTTTTGCACCACGTTCAAGTACTTCTCGACCTCATGGACATTCCAGGAGTAAGTCTGAAAGTTTAAAAGTTGATCAACTGAAACTACAAGACATAGGCATTCAAGATTCTGCATTAGCATTAAGTAGTATGTTTACCAGCCTGGGGCCAGATTCTCGGTGTGCCACGACCCCCAGGTCCCAAGTCACACGTACACCAAGCCCCAAGTCACCTTCCCCACATGCAACAAGATCCAAGTCACCATCTCCACTTGCTACCAGATCCAAGTCACCACAAAAATATTCTATTAGTCCTAAGTCACCTTCCTTTATGCAGAAGCCCAAGTCACCCTCCTTCATGAGAAAACAGAAAAACCAAGTAAGAGGACCTGTTTCCACACAACAGGATACATCTTCTGAAACACTGATTAGTAAGCGTGATGTTAGCCCAGGAAGCATTGCAGAAAAATGTGATAAGGAAATTAGTTCACATCACCCAGCTGGCATGCTTCATTGCCTGACAGAGCAAGATCAAAATGAAAAGTGCACGGAATCAGATAATGAAAAATTTATGCCCAAATCTCAATTTGATGAGATTCTGAAAGAGTTAAGTGCTCATAGCATTATGTCAGCCTTGTCGCATTTGCTGCCTTCATATAATGAGAGCAGTGAAGAAATAAACTCATCTACTGATAGTGAGTGTGTGAGAATTCCATATAAAACTTCCGAGTCTGGTGTTGGAAAAGATGAAGGCACGTTACGGAAAAGAGGGCAGGAGGGAATATTTTCTTTTTCAATCAGTCCACAAGATCGGTTAATGGAAGGCAAAACTGTACCAAAGTCGCTGAGTCATGTTCGAAAGTCAACATTTATTAGTCAAGATGAGGTAGGATTTATCCTAGAAGATAAATCTCTGTCTAGCATATATAGATCAACGTCCTCGGAAGCTAGTAGCCCCATTCTGTTGGCCCGGATTAATGATTCAGTCTCTTCACGCTCCTTAAGCTACGATCAAGGAAGTGAAATCCAGTCAGATTGGGATGAATCTACGTTTACTGATGATGCTGAAAGCTTTTCACCTACTCTACAGTTTCATTTTACTGGAAGTGATGGTGGAAGAGAGCGCAAGAAATCGCAAGATTCTCAAAAGGTAGTTCTGCTATTTGTCATTGATGATATAGCAATTTTCAACTACAGTATTTTTTTTTAATTATTCAGTACAGTAAAATAGTTATATACTTTTGTTTTGATATGAAATTTGAATTAAGGTTAATGTAATGTACTTCACCTTCCATGGTCTTTAAATACTTTCATAGAAAATTGCTAAATTCATCAATATATGTAAAAAAAAATATTTTACATAGCTTAACAACTGCTACTCGCATTTAACCAAGCCCAACATGGCTTATGATTTTTGACGAATGTTGCTCCTTTGGAGATGCATCACATATTGCAAGCATTTAGCAGCGAATGAAGTGATAAACTGCTTTGTACTTCAGTGTTATCTGTGTAGTAATCTCTCTCATGCCTCCAAATGATACGCTTTTTGTTTTATTTCATTGGCAAGTTTCTCTCTGATCATATAGCCAAGTAACTGGTTGCCTCTACATTACTTCTTGAAAGTATTATTTCGTGTGAACGTAGCTTGATGAAATCTCGTTTATTTGGGCAGTATTTGGATGAAGTCTTAATTGGAACTCATTAGATATGTAATGGGAATTTTCGGTGTTTAAAATTCTTGTTACCATTAATATTTTAAAGACTTAGGCAATTGCTTGCTTGCTTCCTTTAATAAAGGTGTACAATACTGTACTATTGGTGCAATATTGCTTTAAGTTTTGTCACAGTTTTGAATATAAATGCAATTACCTTTTGAGCATTTTATATATATATATATATATATATATATATATATATATATATATATATATATATATATATATATATATATATAGTTAGTACTAGTTAATTAATAAACCTGCAGCCAATATTTTATATTTTTTCTAATAAATTATAACTAGCATTTGAGAACACATACATCAATCTTGGAAAATGTGTGTGATGAAGCTAATTCTTAATGTCATGAAGTGAATAAAAGCTTTTAATGTTATGAAGTGTATGGTTACTTCGCTATACTGTATCAGGGTGGTTGTACATACAAAAAAAAAGAAAATTGAAATTTGGGAGGTAGCTTAATTACCCATTTTATTTCCCAATGCAACATGCCATGAACTGTATTTTGAAAATTATGATTAAGATAAAAGACTACCCAACCTTTTTTTTTTTAATGGAATTCTGAATATCATCTGTAAATATTATATTTTGATACAGCCTTCTGATAATTATTTGCTAAAGACTAACATTACCACTTTGCTGAATAATGTTTTAAGTTAATTTAAATTTGTATGAATTGCAAAAGTAAGAATGTAGTGTAGTGTATAACACTTGTCTTCGATACACACTTGCGTGGTATCTGCTAAACCTGCGTGATACTTATGCGTGGGCTTCATCTCTCTCCATGACTTGGTGAGTCTCTTGATGCACAATAATAACCTTTGAGTAGGGTACTTTCCCCGGTGTTCTGTTCATTCTTCGTAAGTAACAACTTGGATCAGTGATACACTTTCGCCAAGAGCTACGGATTCTTTGACATGTACTGGGCTTCATAGAACACCTTCCTCACGTCCAGTTGCTTCACATATATAATAAAACACACGTGTGAGTTAGACACTTACTTCATTCCGTCAGTACAGCAAAAACATCTTGAAAGGATTACTAGCTATTACACACACACACTGTTGCTGGTACTCTTCAAAGCACTGGTATTGCCTCATATGGAATACTGTATTGATATCTCAAAGCAGGTGAGATATCAGATCTGGAACTAATTCAGTTATAACTAATAACTAAGAGCCTGCATAAAATCAATTCAGCATTTAAGCTACTGAAACCTGCTCGGAGCAGTCAAATTGTTTTCCTTGGAATGAAAACGAGTGAGAGATCCCATGATCTGCTCGTGGAAAATCTGGAAGGTTAGGTTCCAAACCCCCACAAAAAAATTATGCCATATTGGAGTTAAAGATAAGGCAGACAGTAGAAAATAAATTTAATAATAAATTGTACTGGTAGAGGTAGGGAGGGAACACAGTATGACTAGCAGAGACCCATGACTTTTTTCATCACACAAACAGGTAATATTCAAATTTATTGGTGGAAGAGTAATGGAAACTTTCAAGAGGGAACTTGACAAGTTCCTGTTTAAGTTAATGGATCAGCCTAGTTTAGATAGCTATGTGGCCCTAATGGGTATGATGACAAACAGCCTCATGGACCAGGCAGTCACCAGGAAATCCTGGTTCCAGTGCCAGGCTATGTGAGTAGAATATCTCAGAATTGTGTATAGGTAGCTCACAGGCTCAAATGGGAGGCAGGTTTTTAGATAGAGATCCAAAGTTGGTGAAAGTCATTCCACTGATTGTGAAAATGAGAGGCCACTATGCTCACATTCAACACAGTTTAAATGTGAAATACTTAGAGGACTAAACCTTGAAATACAGTCATCTTCCCTATTAAGAAATCTGGTGGAAAGGGCACTTCAAATATTTTTTCTGGGGGAGAGCCCCATGTAGCTCTCTGAAACTACCATCTCCGATGTAGGTCCCATCAGTCAGGGAGTTCTCTGGCCTATCAGGGACCCAGAACCAGAACCTGGTCCCCCTCAGAGATGAAGGGAGCTGTGTCATTTATATATTAAGTTATTCATTTATGTCACCACTGAGGAAGGCACACAGTCAGCAAGTCGAAACAAAACACGGTTCAGTCCCTCCAAGACCTGCAGGCTTGTGAACGGCCATAGAATTCCCCAAACTATGTAAACAAACGACCAACTTACAAAACTAGCGCCTGCTTGTTTGCCCCGTCCTCCCCATAGTTAGGGGGGCCAGATTGTCATTCATATCATGGTTGAATGTCCTGATTTTTGGGAAAGTGGGAAACTTTGTCCCTTTATACCAAATATCTCTAGTTAAAATCCTTAAATGATTGTGACTGCTTCAACATACCAATAGATAACTTATATCTTTGAATCTTCTGTGACATGTATAGCACCACCAGTATTATGTTACCAATACTGCTTAGTATTTTCTTTTGATAATTACAATACTTGATCAGTTTACATATTGCCTTGTTGATTCTTGTATAAAATGATTACCAATAGTAGAATGCAATTTTTAAACAAATTAATTTGTTACGGTTGAAAAGCTATGATAGTACCTTCAGAACAATATTGCATAGTTGTTTAGAGGCTTAAAACTGGCATTCTGATGCTACGTATGCAGCATTAAAAGAAATTGGTTCCCGTTTCGATGCCACAAGTTTGTGGTCTCCATTTTGAAAATTCAATTTTTTTTTTTTTTTAAATGCAGTACAGCATTTGGTTTCTGTGTTTCATATGCTTGCACAATCTTTTGTGGTCATTTTGACACCAGAATATAAATATTGTACATGACAGTGAACAGAAGCATAAACCTGAAATTATTAATGTACGATATAAACATCTGTGTTCGGCAGTGGAAGTGCAAGTGGCATGTGCACTGGGTTAATTAGGGGGGTGCAACACCATTTAAAAAATCTCAAAAATACTTCTACAGTACTGTATTATGCAATTATTATTATCCTCGTATCATACAATAGAATAATCACGTGAACATTCGCTCCCAAAAATTTAAAAAATACTACTGCACAATGTGGAATAAACAATTATACAAACACATTTTGATTATAAACATTGGCATTCAATGTGCCACCAGTCTCTCATGGCATGGTACTAGAGTGGGATTGCAGACCGGGCACACTTTAGGACTATGGTACTGTGTAGTACTGTACTATTTAACACCCCGCTGGTGTTAAGCCGTGGGCTCCTACTTCTTTCTTCATCTCTCCCTGTCATGGTTTTGCCTTCGATTTTCTCTGTAATATTCCCTATTTCTCATTTTCCCCCTAAATATTTTATCCTTCCCTTTTTCTAAGGGGGAGCCCCAGTGGCTTCCTGAAGCTACTACTGTATACTGATATAGTGCCAGACTACAAAGGTCCCATCAGTCATGGAGTTCCTATTGCCATACCGGAGATCATGAGCCAGAACCTGGCTCTCTCAGAGAGGCTCTGGGAGCAGTGGCATGATGAAACCTTTTATGCATCTTATCATGTGGCATTCACATTCAGGGTTGATACCTCTTTGGCCCCATTCCACAAGCTTTCTTGCACATTGTTTCACCTCCAGCCTGTGCCTGTGCCACCTGAGCCTGTCTGCTCTCTTGACCAGGTTCTTTCTTTTCTTTTGTCCACTTGGTTTACGATGGCCTCTTCGGTCTAAGATTATTTTCAGGAAGTGTTGTTTTCAGTGGGGAGCCCCCGGAGGCTTCCTGAAGCTATCCTACTGATATAGTGCTATATTAGTTGGGGTCATCAGTCGAAGAAGTTTTTATGCCTACCCGGAACCAGAGCCAGAACCTTGCTCCCTCAGAGAAGCGCAGAGAGCAATGGCCTATGATCACTTTACATTTAAAGTATGTCATAAAGAGATATGTCATTCATGTAAAGTATGTCACCAGAGAGTAGGAAGCACCACTTTTGTGGAAGTGCTCCGGAAGAGGTTACCTCCTCTGGTAAGTGCCCTTTCCTTCTTCCTTCTTCTCCATGGCTAGTTAACTTCAGTGAGCCACAAGGGACTTCCCCCAGAAAACCAGCATTGAATGCAATAAAATGCCAATTTGTGGATGAGCCCAAGTTGCTCCCAGTTGGTTTCCTTCATCATAAAAACTGGTGATGGAGCAGCCAGCTGATCCGGTCTGCCTCCCTACCTCCCTCCCTCCCTCCCTCCTCCCCTCCCATACAAGGGAAAAGAAGTGAGGTGAACTAGCTCAGGATATTTTCACAAATTGTTGATAGTTTACATTGTTGGAAAAGTTCTTCTGCTGTTTTGAGGCTGCGGTATAGTTTTTAACTAAGCAGTGGTCTTATTTAGCTGACTTTCTGGGTACCTTTCCTTGGTAGTGGCAGACATGAATAAATTTACAAACAAACTTTCATAGTGCCACTACTCCCGGCACAATTTCTGAGGGGGTGGGGGGTAGGTCCTGGCTTGTGGTC